ATTACCAGTGCAGATAAATTTCACATTTTGTTAGTAAATTGTAATTTACTAGTAACTGTGATCTATTTCGTCGGTTAAACAGATCTACTGAGTTTTAAAATGTAATTTGTCTTTATCAGATAATCACATATTTTATTCTGCAGCTTCAGATTCAATCTTCTAAATGTAGTCTGGTGAACAGTTACGATTTCAACATCGAACGCGCGTAATCACTGGTATAAACGATCCCAAACTTGAGTACCAACTTATACAAAATTTGAAGTTATCACCACGGATTGACCTTAGTTAAATAACCATTAACTAAATCGGTTCATGTTAACAACAAAATTCTATGATCTCCATAAAAACCCTATGTAGTAATTACGTAGATTTATTTTGGTTCCTCACAAACTTCCAATGATTTCTGTATTACTTATGAGGGTGTTAATAATGATCGTGTTGATATAATTATAATTCAACATGTTCTATCATTCCGCGGAACCCTAAGCGCAGTTCAGAAAGAAATGATTTGTACCCATTGAAATAAGTGAATAATTTAAAATCTTCATACCCGTTGTCCAGTATTAAATCCCACTTCTCATGTGGTAAACAACACCATCATATTTCATGTCATTTTTATTACGCCTGTGAAAAGACTGGACATACATACAAAGTATGTTAGAGTTCCAAAATGTTAATTACTGAGAAATAAAATGATTCTGGTCCGAGATAAGTTGGTTTCTAGAAGCGAATGGATTTATTGTCACTTACTACTGAATGCAGCAATACTTCACGTTTCATTCAGAAGTTGATTAGTTCCATTCATTTGTTAACAATACTGCTAGTATTGAATTTATTAATTCCAAGAGAAATCTACTGTTCCTTTTTAATCATGAGCATCTAAAGACTATAGGGAAATCAATCACTGGTATAATTAATCACAAGCTTCCGATTATTAAGATGATCGAAATTGCATTACGGAAAGTAGTTTGTTCAAAATTTCTTTCTCTTTTAATGAATACACCTTACCTGCGCTTTGGCTAGAAGATACTGAACACTTACATATCCCTGAGTATTAATTCTTCTGATATTACCTTAATCAAAGGTTCGATCTTGCAGTACTGTAAGCCCCTAAGTAGTATGAAAGTGAGGCCAATAATTCTAGACATAAGGGGAAAAACCCATTTGCTTGATGTGTGGGTTGGTTCCATTTCGTCCAAGAGTGCCTATGATAGAAGAATTAAATAAACCTGGCTGGAAAAAGTCTAGTAGTTCTAGTTGAATCATCCAGCTGGATTGCTATTGCAGCTTTTATAAGAACCAATGGAAAAACATCTAGAATTTATGGTAATTAACTCTTGACGCTTAATACTCAGCTACTGAAACCAAGTTATATATGTGAAAAACTGAAGACGTGTTACACAAAGAGCGTAAAAATATTTCATTAAAATACACATGAGAGAATAACATTTGCAAGTCCCTACGGATGACGTCTTCACTGAACTTACTACTACAAGTACTTCACTCTGGGTAAATGATTAGTGTATTTTCAAATAAAGAAATCCCTTCTGTTTTGACACGCGTGATCAGAGTTTATCACAAACGCAATTGAATTGTATTCCGTTATTGATTATTTTGCTGAGTGAATGATGAATTAGACTATCTCTGATCTTCAAGGTACTGAATCGTATTAGGATGATATCATAGTTCTTACAGCAAATAATGAATTGTATAACGAGTCTTCTGAAGCTATTTAGACGCTTTTATGATACAAATCTTGTAGTAAAGCCATTCAAATGTCGATTTCAACTCAACATATCGATTTCCTGTCCCACGCTATAGATGTTAAAGGATTTTAAAACTGATACGAATAGCTCAGCTTCACTGATACAAACACCATCACTGAGTGGCTTAATACTCAGGTGAAGGATTAGTACCCTTCAGTTTTATCCCTAACTTAATGAAGCGACTATCAATAATTACTGATTTGTACAGGAAAAACATGAGAATACGTTATGAAACATTTTGTAATTTATTGAGGCTTTTTCAAATTGTTTTCACCAATTGAATAGTCTACAATCATTAGAACTCTAATTACAGATGTCGCTCCAACGGGAATAGATGTAACAGAACAGGAAACCCGTAACTTCCATTTCAAGATGATTAAATAAAAGTAAGCAAGGGTATCCCCAAACGCAAAGGGATAACCTAGCTAATCCTAAGACATCAAAAGACGGTATAAGCAATTTTCGGTGTAAAACAAAATGCTGAAGTTGATTTAAAATCTGATAAGACTACTTTGTTAGACGTTTTCTGGAGTATCCCAGTAGTGTAATTTAAAAATTGAGTGCTCATAGTTTCACCGCTGTACATAGAGAAGCCAAAAATATATAACGTGCGAATTTTCCAACGACTATTTTGGAAAATTACTCAATGGAAGTGACTGTTAATTCAACCGTTACATTCCGATTGGACACAACTTGCGAAACGTTTGAAAGTATCTGGGAAGTACCATAAATGGACTAAGAAGGGGCTGGAATGTTCACAGCAAGTATAAACTCCTTGTGCTTTGCAAAACGAGAAGTATATCCCTACTTCCTGAAGGCGCTTTACGTTCGAATGGCCGTTAACGATTCCTGATGTTAATGCTACAGGGCTCGCTGCCCTTCGTCACTTTAGCTAAAGCCTTTACAACCTGTTTAAGAATTCCATTCAGGCAGTTCGATAACAATAAGCAACCAGACGTTAGATGAAGACGAATCAAATCAGCACTCAAATAGCCACGTTTCTGGGTTAAGTAGGTCACTATTCGATTCTTTTCAGAAGCGATCTCGTTAACATTAGACTTTGGTAATTCTAAAATGTTACCCGTTAGTGCCTACTATGGCTTCCTTTGCTTTCACTGCTCATGATTGTCGCCGACTTCAATCAGATTCTCTCGGTTGTCATCGTGTTTGAAGGATGACGGGATAAATTCTTGGGCATCCACGGACTTAGTAGGCAGTACTGAAATCTGCCGATGTCGGAACATAAGGAAAATCCTGTTCGTCCACACAAAAACCCATATATATTTCTATGTCCATTAAAATGTTCACAAAAATACTTAAATTAGCGAAATGTGGACCCTATTTATTATCTTTGTTTCGCTTATATATAATCGTATTTTTCATTCATCTCTTTAAAATTATTAAATCTCATGACCCCACCATATCCAATAACCACTTGACATTTGCACATCCCGTAGTTTTCTAAACAATTACTATGACCGAGTCAACAGTGCATTAATAGACTCCCTAGAGTTCTAAACCCAATTTCCCTATCTGTCACATAAAACGTAGTTTCGTGCTACCGCAGTTTTTGGTTAGTCCAATAATAGACCAAGGGTGATAGATTTTTTGTTTCATGAACCAGTCGTACATTTCGCCAGTTGGCAGTCGTTTCATCGTGGCTACAGAATGAAAAAGTTGTTTCCAACACAGTAATAACTTCTTCATAGTGTTTTTCCGACTAGTTTCAAGCTATATACACTTAGGCATAAGACCGAGGGACACTTTCTGCTACTAAAGGTTCAAACAAATCATTAACACACTATAAGAGTGTCAATTCTTCTAGAGCTACTATTCAGCCGTACACACAAGCTACAACTTGGTATGTTAACTATATATATAAATACAGACAATAAACCTACTATTTCAAATTACACCTCGCGAAGTCTAAACTACGGTATCCCAAACCTCACACAAGTTGCATGATATAGTGTGACAAATATTTGATGCCTCCCTGTACCAAAGTTTGTGTAATAATAAAATGAGTCGGTAAACGAACTTATGTCAATCTAGTTTAGTTACAATCAGAACCCTTCTGACTTATATTGGCTTCGCTTAGTATTCTGAGTCGCGGTAGGCATGCGCAACCTCTGTCAGTTGCTATAAACGAGGACCTGTACTGACACTAGTCTAATTCCATTCTCAAGATGCACTCCCATTCTAAACACAACGCCATCTGCTTGATGGTCTCACCACATGCAGCATCTTAAAGACACCAACTATATGTCGGTAACGTCAAAATGGAGCAACATCACATGAGCATAAGACCGCACTGACTGGTGCGCAATTTTCGCCTCTCTTAGGTGGTGGAAATCCTAAATGTCTGTAGCCTCGAAGTTTGGGTCGATTTAAAACCTCCGACGGTCAAAGTCATGAACATATACCATAGTTTGGGACTTTAATTAATACAATTTTCTAGGCCTAATAATTATCAATAGACAGATCGGCCTTTTGACCAAGTTATAAGCCACTCCACTGACTGCAGAGTCCTAACATGAGATGGATTTACTGAACGAATACAGATATCAGAGTAAGGAAGGTCAATAAAATACATTAGGAATAATAATGAAAAGATGACTTACAGGCTGTTTGGGGAATATTATGGACAGAACCACCAAACAAAATACATATCTTCGCCACTGTGGTTTGCTAAAGACTGCCTAAGAATTACTGCAGCATTTAATTGACAACCGATTGAGAGAACGTTCACGGAATTTGCTCAAACACAGTCTTCAAAAAGCAACAGGAACCAGCTAGAGATGTTAAATGTGGGCAACTCACTGTTACGGCCACATTCACAGCTACCTTACAAGAAAATGAGAAGCAACTATCATGAGACCGATTTGTTAAGATTGTTTTTCGGTACCGTAGCAGTTAAATCTACTGGTTGTCTAAATAAGAATATGACGCTGTTCTAGTTCACGAACAGTAAGTTCTTCCCAAAGGCGAGAACTAGACAATGCATTATGACGGCCAACTCGGTTGCAAAAAATCTCAAAGTGAACAGAATTCAAAAAGTGTAACGATTGTTCCGTAGACAAGTTTAATTCGAAATATATGGATGATAACGAAAATGACTGTTGTTAAGGTTAAGTAAACACATCAAGTGGCTCATATAAGATGTGTATATCATATAGACAGCACAAAATGCACATCCGCAATTCAATCCAGGATAATAAAGTAATCACAATCACATTAAGCAGATGCACACTGAACTCGCGGGTTGGAACTCTCAGAACCATCCACATCTTCGTATACTTCTCCTCGGCGTTCCTGTTGCTGGTGGTCAAACTCGGGATCGAACGGATGCAACTCAACCGATTCTGCATCTTCGGGAATATCTTCGATACAGGTAGGTGGAGGAAGTAACTTTCGCAACGATTCCAGTTGGGTCTTTGGAAGAAATCCATTCTTCGGGAATACTATGTCGAACTTTATGATGAGTCGGCCTTTGTCGAACGGGTTTTTGTATCTTGGCATTCCCTCTCCTTCAATCGCACGAAAGTCCTTATTAGTATACACCTCACCTAATGCAGAATCCATGAGATCAAAAATGGGAGCTTACCGGGTCTGGAAGTTATCACTAGTGTCCGATCATCTAATGTTCGTATCGTCCGCTGGAAGCCACACAAGGCTTCAGAGAGTGATAATTCTATGGTGTGTATCAAGTCGTTTCGACGTCTGATGAAACGGCTATGCGGTTGCTCATCAAGGGTAATGATAAGATCACCAGGTTCTAGGCCCGGTTCGCGATCACCTTCGTCATGAAATTTGATTGTTTGACCATCGGTCATTCCTTTGTCTATTGGGACTTCAATCACCTTGGTTTCGCGGACAACTTTTCTGCCTTCACACTTTTTGCAACAATCCTTTGGATCAATAATCTCTTTCTCACCCTTGCACGCACTGCAAGTGGTCTGTATCTGCTGCACAAATCCGACGTTTAACTGGCGAACGTGAGTCTGAATGCCTGTTCCGCGACACGTACGACAGGTTACAACAGCACCCGCCTTGCCACCACGACCTAAAAATAGCAAGATTCGAGTACACGGGCTTACCTTGACACTGATCACAAATAACTTTTCGCGTAACTCCAAGTTTTCTAACACTGCCATTGTATAGCTCTTCTAAAGTCACTGATAACTGGTGCACACAGTCTTTTCCTCGACGGGGTCCGCGAGAACGACCACCCCCGAAGAACATTTGGAATATATCCATTGGGTCAGCCATTCCACCTGACTCAACTCCACCCTCCTTAATTCCTTGCTCTCCTCTTGTATCATATATTTCTCTTTTTTCAGGGTCGCTCAGAACCATAAATGCTTGAGAAATTTCTTTGAACTTTGTCTGTCAAAGTTACACTGGCTAACATACCTTATCTGCGCTATCCGGATTTTTGTCTGGGTGATACTTAAGGGCCTTTTGGCGGTAGGCCTTTTTTATTTCCGCCTCAGTTGCGGTCACAGGTACACCGAGCAGATCATAGTACTTTCTTTCCTTCACCATCTCTGTTAAAACCCGCTCTTACTGATTAGGAGCGGAACTTTCTAGACGTAAGAGAAACAGTTAAACAATTGACACATACTGAAGCCATTGCACTTCGGAAATAAAGATATTATATATGCTGCCTATTCTAATTATTTGATTTGGTACTTCTATGAAAATTTTGATGCCTTCCTTAGGTATTGATTCGATAAGAAAAATACATTATATTAAACAAATTTTTTGATAGTTGAAAGAACTTTCGAAAAGCTTGGGTGTTTTAAGGTTCTGTGTGTCTTTATCTCCTGATCAAGGCCTAATTATAACTGATACCTGTTTTTTTAATTCGACATTGTAGTGGTTAGCCAGAAGTATTTTACCGGTTCTTAATTCAGTTTCAGTTTGGAAAGGACAGGAGGCTTGATGGCCTGTGTTAGTCCTAGCGATGATGGTCTCTCGGTTGATCCAGTTTTCTTTTGAAAGAGTCGACGGAGGGAGCCTCAACCATGTGATGATGATTCGATTGGAAAATCGATAGTCAGCTGACAAGTAATTCGTCCTGGGCTTGTGAACTTTTTTGTAGTGTCCTCGTAAATTTTCTGTTTTCGAAGACAAGATAAATGAGGGCATATCATATGAAAATTTATCACTAAGCAATTTGAAAACCGTAATCAAGTCGCCTCTAATTCTTTGATATAACAGCGGAAATAGATTTAGCTTGGTCAGTCTATCGTCATACGGGAGCTTCACCATTCCGGGAATCAGCTTAGTTGCTGTTCTCTGAACCCTTTCCAAAAGCTCACCGTCTTTATTTAAGCAGGGGCTAGCCGCTTGTATGCAGTACTCAAGTTTAGGACGCACGAACACTGTATACAAAGTCAAAAACGTTTTAGCGTCGATATGGCTAGAAGTCCTGAGTGTTGACCATAAAGTTCTAAAACCTTTGGCGGCTATCGCACGACAGTGTGCAGCAGTCTTTAAGTCTTGTCTATCGGTGACTTCTAAGTCATTGTGTGTCTGGGCAATAGGTAGTTCAATGTTGTTCATCATGTATGTACCTGTACCTTGATGACCGATATGCATCACAATATACTTGGAAGTATTTATTGGCGATTGCCAGGTTTGAGACCATTCAGATAATTTCTCCAGGTCGTTTTGGAGTTTTAAGCTATCACCCTTACATAGTATCGCTCTCCATATCTTGACATCGTCAGCATATAGAAAGACCAAAAACGATAGTAGATGAGGGAGGTCATTTACGTACAGGAGGAATAACACTGGACCCAAAACTGTACCCTGTGGGACTCCACTAATCACAGTTTCCCAGCTAGACAACTTGGAGTTCACCCGTACTCTTCGTTGACGCCCAATTAGGAAGTCTTTTATCCACATCAATAGATTGCCTCCAATCCCGTTATTCCTTAGCTTATATAACAGCCGGTTGTGCGCAACTTTGTCGAAAGCTTTGCTGAAATCTATGTAGGCTTCGTCCACAGGTAACTTTTGGTCCTAAGGAGCGCACTAGCTTTGACGAATGACTAATAAGTTAGTGAGACAAGAATAACCTATTCTAAAACCATGGTGCTTCTCCGAAAGGATCCGGTTTTCATCGACGGTCTTAAACAGCTCCTTCCGAATAATCTTTTAACAACCACACTAGTTAGGTTGATGGGTTGGTAATTCTCAGGTTTATGTTTCGTACCTGTTTTGAAGACAGGACTTACTATGGCGTTCTTCCAGTCTTTCGGTAAACGAAGCAATTTCCGACGATATGATTAAACGAAGTCAAGACCACTAAATGTCAACGACCAGTCGGGAAGAAGCTTTCGCTTAGCGGGCTTCCGTATCTAGTTGCAGTGGATCATCGATGCCTCCAGGTGGGGACCTAGGTTTATTCGACGATAAGATGGAAAATATTGGCATGTTATATTGAGACACTGCCTCAGTCATGAAGAATATGTCATTATTTCCCATAAAATACTCCTGGGAACCCGTTTGGACAACCTCAGATAGTCGCGAATTCTAAAACTCGACCACCCGTACAGAGTAAAAGGTGTGCCTCCAATCTATTCTTCTATGTCATGTATCTAATTTATGGGTGTTATCCGTAGGGTTTTGGGGGACTGCTTAAGTGGGTATTTAAGAGGCCCAAGAGTGTTTAGGATACTATGAGACGTTAGAAGGTCACCTCTGAGTCGCCTATACTCTAAAAGGTGTAGATTCAATGACGTGAGGGGCTTCTCATAAGATTTGAATCTGAGTCTTTGAATCGATGTCGTGGCTTGCCTTTGAACAAATTACAATATATTCCTATTTTTTATGTGAGAATAAAAGCAGTATATGTGGTCGAATAAGACCTTTGAAGATTAAATGGGAGGTTCCGCCGTAGAGCTGGCCAAAACTGCTTCTCAACGTTACCTAAGCATGGTCTGCTAATAATGGATTCCCGTCGCAGTTAGGGTCAGACTTTAGGTCGTAAAGTACTAACATCCCTTTATCCTTTTGAACTTGGGATACCTTCAGAGGATGACTATCTAAGTTGTATGCATAGTCTGTAACATGACTTCGACGGACTACTTTACACTGTGAAGCGTTAAAGCTAGGTCCTTTTCTGCCCAACCTTAAATTCAGGTCACAACCTCCTGAATTGCAAGCTTATCATCTTGGTTGCAGACTTACCTCCGAAGTTTCACATAGTCAGAAAAAAGTAATAGACCAGGCGATACTTGCTGAAGAAGGTCGTCTATATAAATACACAAAAGAGGTCTCAGTATTGAATCCTGAGGAACCCCACTAGGACATTCCATAGCCTGAGAAAAAGTGACGTCTGTGAACCTGAAAAGCCAATCTTTTAAATGACGAGTTAACCATTCAATTTAAGGTGAATTGACATTTGACCGTCTGAGCTTACTGAAGAGACATATGGTTGACCCTATCAAAAGCTTTTGAGAAGTCAAAGTATTTGATATCAGCCTTCCACTTGAGACCAAAGGTAGTTGCCCATCTGTTCACCACAGTCAGCAGTTTGGTTATATAAGAGTGACCCTTACCGAAGCCATTCTATTTGGGTGAAAAGAAGTTTACGGCTAATAAGTAGTCACGTAAACCCCCACATATTAGGGACTTCACAACTTTTGATAATATTGAGAGGAGTACTACCAGCCTGTAGCTTGAAGTTTTGCCGCGTCGACCTCCTATGAAAATTGGTGTGATTTGTGCCAGCTTCCAATTTCCCGGTCCCGTGCCTCAGCTAAGTGAATGTGAGAACATCACGCTAAGCGGCTTTGCCAAGGTTGAAGTCGCTTTCTTCACTGTAGCGAAATGAACCATATCTGGGCCAGAAGAAGTGTCTTTGTTAGGGTGCTGCAGATTCTGAAATACCAAGTTAGTGCCCAGGTTCACATCTGAAATTCATGTACAGCCGCAGGTAAAACTCTCGTTGATGTATTTAGTATGTGATGGTTAAAATGTTTTTAAATACTGTTCTGTCAGAGGGTCAAAAGTGTCACCGTCGCTGTTGGTCAGGCCATTTGGATTTGACAACTGGGAAAATCTGGTTTAGTTTTTGTTACGTCCAATTATGAGTTTTTGCCCGTTCCAACTATTGAAGTACTGGCCGTCGATATTCGCAAATCACGAACCCAAGTAAGCAAGAAAACCAAAACTCCAAATTAGATACCAAGTTTATTCGCAATTCACAAATAATCGACCAAAGTCGTTCTAACAACAATAATTATAACAATTACAAAACAAACCTTCAATTTTGTAGGCTCCCGGAGCAAAAACTCCCAAATACCAAACCAATGACAAAAGAAACCAAAATTTCCGAAAAGAATGATATAAACAAACAAGTACAAAGGTTAAGTAAAACAAATACACCCAAAAACAGTAAAATTGATGTACAGTAAAAAGGGTTTAATCAGCCAAATGTCTTCAGTTCTCCCGTAGCAGTCTTGTTGAATAGCGTCTGTATAACGGAATAAACTTTTCCAATTGAGGACAAATTTATTTATTTACTCCATCAGATACTGGACCATATCACTTATGATTGCAATTATGCACTGATTCCTTGCTTGTTTGTACCGTTTATACATGATGTTGTTACTAGTTCATTTATACTCCGTCTAGTAGTGCCCTTTGCGTCTTAGCATTCGAGGAATGCGATTCATTATGACTGTACGTCGTTTGCACTGTTTCGTAGCACATAAGATAGTGTGCCGTGAGAAATTTCAATGAGCGTCGACAACAAGTTGTGGATGTGTTTCCCAGTTCACCTGGTTTAGTTTAACCTGTAAAGCTGACATCTACACAATCACAAATAGCTCCAACATCTGTTATAAGCAGGATGTTTCAGCTCAGTTTTGCTGATAAAATTGAGGGCCATGACAGATTAATCTTTTTTACCCAAGGGAGCTAGGATTGAAATGTTGTAAATTAAAAAAATTTTCTTTGTTAATATGCAGTCTGGGCGTGACGGCGTCCTACTGTTTCCCCTGCAGGTTGATATGCTAAATTGACATTTTCGACTAACCCTGAATTTTCAATCCGGTTAAAGAACCTTGATTTGTTACCTCTTATGTACGTGTTTTTAACGGAGTGGACTTTAAAAATATTGAAGTCTCATAGAATTAGGATAAGAGTGTATCCGAAACGAATATACCGGGATACTTCCCCCAGCAAACGATTGTCGTTTTCGGTGTTAGCAGTTTTTGAAACGCATGAGCTTCGTTATTCTGTTTGTCTGAATGAGCTTTGGGAGAATGGTTAGGCAGCCCCTGTTTCTTCAATGTCTTTTCCTTGATCCTGACAGTCTACAAGTGGAAAAATCAGTTTCAATTCACTTTTGTGCTTGATCCCTGTATCATATGGTCGGTCAGAACGCTTTTTGATTCGTGCTGGTAAGTGACATCTGTTTGCACTAATTGCTTCGTGAGTAGCAGTTGCTATATGCGAGGATAGTAAGGTTATCTTCACAAGCCAAGTTTTAAAATCTTCATCCCTTCTAACCAGTCACAATATGTTCTTGAGCTTCAACGACTGCTTCACGAATTTTCACTTCAGAATATTACAGTCTGAATAATTAAGGTTCATGTTTTCTAGGACACCCTGAACAATGATATTTCTTCCGCGAAAGAACGTATCATGAGACCAAATAGGGATGTCCTTGATGAGAGTTTGCTCAGAATATGGCATAACATGCGGTACTCTCGCATCCCCTCTCGATTTCACTAAGTAACTAGCAAGCGAAACGTCCACTACTTCAGCAGTGTTGATGAACGTCACACGAAGTCGCGGATGATTTTGATGCTTCGAATCCGTGCCCAGGTAAGCTGTGTTCCCGTTCGTGGCTCTCCCCAAAACATCTTGTCTCTTCTGTACAGTAGACTGAGAGGATCATCATAGCTGTATTAAGGTTCATGATTATGAGAGATTAATTGCCAACCGTGATCGTTTCCCGGACTACTGAATTTAGGCTAAACCACACTGCTGAAAAGATGGTGCTCCATATGGGTGCCACGTCACAATGCCGAACTTTTGTTAAACGTACTTCATGTAACACATTGTATAAAACAGAAGAAATTTGGCGTATATTTGGGTATCTACTTGTTACTGATTTCCAGCTAGATACTGTAATGGGATTTGCTGTATAAAGAGTCTACACTAGATGCACGAAATAATGCGTAATTCGGAGTCATGTTCTCGATACGTAATTTAGATATTTTATTACGATAGTGTACAGATATGACAGTCGGAGCATTGTTTCCTTCATTTCGATTATTTGCACTAAATTTACAGGACGACTGTTATCATGTGTTATTGAGTAGTGTTGACCAAGGTTGAAACCGATCTCCACGTTTTCTGAAGAAAAATCAGGTATATTAGTTCAAGTGTATCATTACTGACTAGGTATAAACAAATTAATGACTCATATTTAGAAAATTCTTGAGCTTCACTTAAACTTTGGAGTCCACGATCATCACTGTGGTATACTAGAGTACGAAAATCATAGATTGGTAAGGTCAACAGTGTGTTGTAATTTGAAATCTGTCTTGCATGACATCTAGTTATAACAGAAAATAATGGAAACAACAGTAACAGAGAAAGTAGCCATAGGCATTTCGGTATGCCATATTAATTAATACACATATATTAATTAATACACATTTTGTTATGTTCTTTTGGTTCATCTACCGGTAAACTACATTTTTTGCTTCATGAGCATACCTTTTGGTATCACTAAATTGGAAGTTTAAGTTAGATATTTTGCTTTATCAGATAGTTTACGGGGGATGTATTGGTTTTTTCACAAAAGAGGTAGCCTGCGTTAATATATTAGAGTTTCATAGGGTTATTTTGAACACCAAGTGCGTCACTCATACCCTTAGAAGTACCAGTATTTCAGTTTACTGCTAATTTTTATAGTATTTTAGGGTCGTCCATAAGTTTATCTAACCCATGAACAAAGTGTAGGGTCACTGAATATCGAACAGATCATTGATCCCTGTCAAGGTCAAGGATAGTCAACGCGCATCAAATGAATAATATATGTCATGGACTGGCCCACGATGCAGTGGTTATTCTTTCACCTGGCAGTGGTTGTTTCTTTCACTTCTGTATTTTCGTGGTTGTACCTTAACTAATATATTCTTGTAATAACGTCCTTTGTGTTGTACAGTCTCCATAGCGTCCATGATCCTTTGATGCGTCGATGGTTCAAACCACGTAAGGGCCGGTCGCGAGGTGTAACTTCAGCGTTAGTTGATTCGTCACCATTCTCGTTTAACTCTAGTAGGCCTCCAATCATTTTGACATAGATCATCAACGTAGATGGTCTACAAAAGTAACATATAAAGTCATTTTCACGTAACCAATCTGACAGCTTATTCTAAATAACAGTAAACTTATGCAGGATGAATTTTTGTTTTACACTAGATCTACAATGCTGTATTTTGACTAACTATACAATGGAATGAAATGACATAGTTACGTAGTGGAATCCCTGATGCCCTGACAAATCATTTTATGAAATTTTCCTCCTTCATGGCCTTCCAAATTTTTACACCTTACATGCTTTAGCAGTATTTCCTTGAGAGTTGTGTAGGATATGAAATAAGATTATCTGGGTACACTGAAATTTTTGGTAAATTGGAAGCATCCTTTCCGATGATCATGAAGAAGTGAGCCATAATATTATCATTGTCAACATCTTCCTTGATCATACTTCAGATTTCAAACTTTTCATATCATCCTCCGAAGCTTCCATATTTGGATGTATATCCAACTGTTCAATCACAAGCTCATTTCGACATCAATATGATAATATAAAACATTCTAATTATTGTATTAACTAAAAATTCACGAAACGGTGTAATTTAAACCAATTAGAACTAGGTGAGCACAAGCGAACTTATTGCATTTAGAACTCGAAACTAACCAGGAACCTAGAGCAAGAAATCATTAGTTTATACGTACACCACAGAAAAATTCGGAAGTCCACCTGATACATTCGGTTGTTACTTCACATACCAGGTGGCCATGGTGACGTGGTTAGTGAAAGATGAAACCCAACATTTCCTTGAGCAATATTTTGTCACATGCCACGGAACCTGAAGTTATCAGGTAGGTCACACTACTTAGCACTTTGTAAAAAAGTGCTTGTAAGTCAATAAAGTGGATGATCTGTGTCGAGTGATTGGGGGACTACTCGAGTTAGACGGGAACGGTGTGACGAACCAGTCAACTTCGAAGTAATACTCCGCTGTCAGCACCTAACTTGGATTACTTCGTCGTTGTACCAAGGTACAATGAGTGCTATGAGATTTATTACAGTTGTTCCTGAACTTGACGAGGATCGGCGAGCTGTTCCATATTCAGAGACACAAATGCCGGATAATTTGGCTAGATTTTAGTAACAGTAACTGGCCCTGCAGGCTCTTCAGAATTGCACGTTTCACTCTTATTTTTCCTTATTTCCTGACTGAATGTCCCCTTTAACTCCACTTTTTCGGTTGCTTAAGGAACTAGAACAAGTGCATTTAAGTGGTTAGACTACTTACGATTGGATACTGCCAAAGACCGGAAACCGTTCTGAAACAGGAAGAAGCGAGAGTAAATAAACATCTTGCTTTATAAAAGCTCGTTACTAAGATACATGATTATGTATTTATTGAACTCATGTTTTCTTAAGTGCGTATACCCGGGGCTATAAGGAAATGTAGGATAATAGAAATAATAATTGATAGGGGGAAACATTTTGGTAATAGCTCATTATCATATTAGATGGTTTGTGTTTTTTCTTCATGTGGTTGTCATTGAACATCCTGGGCGGTAATTCTCAACGTACGGTACTGTTTGCAGTATTTCTGTACTTACTTCAATTTAATCTTGTAGATATTTTTGCACAGTGAGTTCACTCAACATGAACATATTTGACGGTATGTAGTTTTACCACTTATTATTATGGAGAAGCAGCGTTAACAATCGAACATTTTTGTGTGTTTTTCCACTCAGTTTCTGAACTTGTAGGAATATTTGAAGTGGACGGTAATAATTTAATATCCCTACGTTTATCGGTAATTTAAGAGTAGTATTGACTATGATGTTTACTTAGTATCACGTGAACATCAGCGGGTAAATAGTTTGGTATTAGTTGTTTTGGTTTAGAGCCTTTTATATAGTCGTATTATAAGGGGATTTAATTTGGTATGTTTTGGTTTCATTCGCATTAACGTCATCTGCAACCCTTATCAAAGTTCCACCCTATTTTATGATTTCAAGTAGAACACTCATATTTTCATTTTCTGGTAAATTCTTTAGTCCCAGATATGTTTTCCACCCACGGTAGTTTTTATGAATTCCCTTCTCCCGTTTCAACTCTGTATGTTAGTCATATAACGATACAGTCCATTTTACATGAAGTCACCAAGTGTTGATCTATTGGCACAGACCCAATTATATCTACTTCGATTTAGACTAGGTAGTATCACTAAGCCTTATACTTAAATTATAGCTCAAAACCAAGTACATGAATTTACCTGTTGATGTATAATGAGTTTGTCTGTGTGGCGTGAAGATGTATTAATTATCTGGATGGGTAATGAAAACCACTTTGTAGTCTCTGAGTGCCTTAACTTTAAAATGGTTGTTATAGTGTGGATGGTGCTGCGTTGTCATCAGTCAGACGTTGATGTCTGTAAACTTGGTTTTTGATTTGTTAGTGGACAAGTTGTTCATTGCCGTAATTTGTCGAATACTTTATTCAGAAATAGTTTTGATTTCTTGATATAGTCACATAATCAATCAATAGGCTAGCTGTTTTATTTTGTGAGATCTCTTTGATTGGGATTTAAGCATCGTTTGCTGTGAATCGCTTGAGATTTTAGAACAATGCGTTTGCCGTTACTTTCAAATTTTAAAAGTTTTATTATTTGTCACTTATTCTTCATTCTACATTTTAGAATTCAAAGGATGTCTTTATTTTGAATAATTAATTTGAAGGGAGTGCTCAGAATGTCGGCTTCTTTTGACCAAATATTTCACACTGGCTTGTTAGATTTACCTTGCCATCGTTTACTTGAAGTACAGTGTCTAAAATTGAGAAGACCTCTCGTCTGCTTGAGCCCAGTTGCGAAAACGCATATTGTTAATTATACTTTAAATATAGTAAAAAGTCTTTGTGATGCTGCTGCTCCTACCTCTATTGGTGATATTATACAATCCATAGATTACTGTTTTCCCGAGAAACTTAAGCCTTCTCCTCAATTTCTGGATGAGGTTCAATCTCATATTGAGAAAGGAAAAAGAAAAACATTGTATATTTCTGCCGATAAAGTCTTTTCCTGCTTCAAGGTAACTGTAGTTTGCCCAACTTTATTTGTATTCTCAGTTGGTGTTTCCACGCATGGAATCAAATGTCTCCTTGTTCCTGACACATCTAATGGAACATATTATGGGACAAATCGTTCAGGTAATGGAGTATTTTAACCGACAATTTTTTAGTGGGTTGTAAATTATGAGTCGAAAATTCAGTCAGGATATATTGAGGCTACAGATGTTCATGTAAGTTTAAAAAAAGTGATGTATAGTTTGGTTCAATATAATAAGTGAATATGGTGTGAGATCTCATGATTCTAAAATAAGTAATAAGTGTGGTTGACTAGAACTGTTTCTTCAGTCATTATTATAGCTTTTCAAGAAGAACATATTGTTATTGTTTATGTTAGTATTAACTTATTTCTTGGCTGATATATATATATATATATATATATATATATATATATATATATAGGAAACGCTGTATTAAAATATTGTTTATATTACATCGTAGATTCCAAAAAAGTGACCAACGTGAGGAAAATAGCACATATTGGATGTAAAAGTTTGTCAAACCTCCTTAATCATTTTATCATTAGGTAGAACTTGTGATAGCACAAAAGTTATGTTTTTGAGTGCCACTAAACAGGTATCAGGACTATCCGTAAAATATATGACATTAAATCTCCGCACTTCAAACCGGCTATATTAACTAGAATGTGTTTGTAGAAACATTTGTCGTGGGTCGTTTTAAACTAGTTACTAATTAGCATGTTTGACTTCCGTTCCTCTCACTCTTAATACAAAATGTTGCTTCAGGATTGGTCTGAGTTAACACTCGTGTCTATCCAGTATTCTCTGTCTAACCTCAAAGTCGCTAACTCGGTGATTCCAAAATATACGAGCAGTAGTTTGAAGACACTTATGGCCGAATAATAGTAACCTACGAATATTCTTTATTTTTAAAGACCATGTTCTACATCCATGGGGTAAAATGAAGGAAACTGGTGTCTAGTGAACTCAACCTTTAGTTGGCAGACGGATATCTCGTCTACGCTACAGGTGATGTAAGTTAGCAAACACGATTTGGGCTTTCTGAATTCGTGCCACGATTTCGTCATTAAACAACTCAGTAGGACTGATGAAACTTCTAGGATAAGTGAATTAGTCAACACAAAACTATTTCTCTTCCTGTCATTAGTTCGGGTGTTAACCCAGACCAGTTCTAAGGCAACATTTTGTGTGAAAAGTGAGGGAAACCCATATCAAACAACCTTGTATTTTTTATTAAAGTGACCAGAAGACTTCATTTTTCCCAGCATCTTGACCAAACAGAACCATATTAGATCAACAAGAAAATCTAGTGAAAGATCGATTTCTGATAAGTCAGTGGGTGAGAGTGTTATCTGTAAAAGAATGTTTGTGGCAAAGTTGGTTAAACTTTTGTATTTTGGGGCCACCGAGTATCTCCAAGGTACTAGGTAAGAATGGAAAACCCATTGATGGGGCAGTGAATCCACATCAACTGAGGTGGCTTAGACACGTGTCGCATATGTTCAGTCACCTTTTACTTCGTTGAATAATAGTCGCTGATGCGAAAAAGACAGAGACGGTGGAATCAAAATCTATCATTAGTCCATAAAGCGGTCAACTGTTGAAGCGAATCATGTGAGCAGATGCAGACTATCTGGTTGGGTTCCACGTGATAATTGCGACCAATGGTTACACTTTAGATGACATGACTCAAGTGCATTCATTGTCTATCGTCTTTTGAATCCCAAGTTTCTTAGTTATCGTACTAGCTATTTTATCTTCTCAAAGAATATGTTCTATGCTTAATCTTCTTTACTTTCATCAGTGCTGTTATGATCTATAACACTGACATTTGGCTATGCTTTGGTGTGACATCCTGAACCGATGCACATGTCTCAGCTTCTGTACTCTTTATGACTGACTGGTTGGTTACTAATTAGTTATGGAGTTTTGTAGTATCCATCCAGTTTTTTAGATATTGTATAGACTAGTTTATACCTTTTTCGGCTAGTATTTTAGCGTTACAATGTTTTACTTCATTTGGCGTCTAGCATATCTTCAGTTTATTTGGAGCACCAAAACTATCAAAATCACCAGTTTGTTATTCCCTCCCGTTCCTACCTAGAAAGTCTGCAGATTACAAGGATTATGCAAAAGAGATTCAGTATTTATTGCGATTCAGTGTCCAGCACCTTGGAATCATCGTACTCATTTTTGGTGACTCACTTATGGAAGAGTTATCACATGTCCGCATTGTTACAGAGTCACTTCTCACTGAATATGAAGATATCCATAATATTAACTTGACAGCTCGACGTTTACTAGGTGCTATCAAATCTGCTCAGCTTGTTTTTGATCGTGCTTCAGAAGTGCATAGTCATGTAACTGTGCTAAGTGAGTGTATCGACGATGCTTTTGAGGACCAAACTCGCCTCATCGGTTCATGTTTGATAGTAAGTCCTTTCATTAGATTAGAATTCGCTAACCAAACATCAATCGGCTCTTACTTTACTTTTATTTATGCCGCCCGGTTGAGTTATCTTACTCAAGAAATTAGTGATATGTCATTCTGAAACACGATTTCAAACAGTTCGTAGATCATTACATATAACTGCTTTTTACATCCATATTCATTCCTGATTAATTTTATCGCTAAGTTTGGACCACCATCCTTTAAACCTCTGGAGCCAGCCCATATAGATATGTTGCTCTTCCTCGTTTCAGATTAGCCACAGCTTTTTGAACTTCAGTTAGAGTTGAGGGGCCTACTTCAATGTTGCATTCAAGGTGTTTGGAAATGATGGGTAGCTGTAGAGTATCTGTAAACCATCTGAACTGCCACTTAAAGTGTTCCGCCCATCGTTCTTAACGTCTGGACTGAGGACAGATAAGAGTGCCGTCTTCTTTCGAGATAGTTTCACTTACATTTGACTCCTTAATTCTGGTTTCTTTTATTAGTCTGAAAAGCTGTTTTGTGTTACCTACAGCCGCTGCCTTTTCCATCTCTTTTGCTTTCGTTACCCATCACTGCTCACGATCGTTCCTTAGACTTTTGGTTATCCTGGGTCTGATTTGCTTTCACTTTTCACCGTGTTTTCGAACCTGATAGGATAAGTTTACGAGAGTCTATCAGTACAATAGCTGTCGCAGAAATCCACTGGTTCTTCATAACTCATTGGTACAAACAACTAATAAGTGTCGCTACTGTTTCCACAGCTGTTCGTATACCTTTCGAAGCAATATCTGGGTCAGCCTCGTTCTCAAAAGTGCCTAAATGTGGCTTCAGGTGTTCCTGGATTTACATTTGGCTTTCCCGACCGTTGCTGCTACCTTGACGTGGTGGTCGGGCTTGCCTATCGTGATGAAGCAATCGAGCTATGCTGGCTGGAACAATCGTTCCTCAAGGTCCTACCATGCCAGTCAGGTCGGTTGAAGAGCGGTGAGACTAAAAGCAGCAAACCCAAGGTCCGAAGGCGAAGTCGTACTGTCGACTGTACAGAGGTGTGACGGCAGTAAGGTGTTTCCTTCAGACAACCAGCATGACAGCGATGCTGCCTTCCCACAAGGAGGGGTGGGGTTAGAAAAGGTCGGCCCTAAAAATGCACACCTCACCTTATCCCACGGATATCCGTCTCCGGCGGTAAGGTTTTTTTTGAAGAACGGAGCTAACACAAAAACTACCCACAAAAAGGTCGTGTGTGACCGACCTCAAGCAGTTGTCCCTTGGGCACTGCGGTCACGCTCTCAGGTCATTCAGACCACTTCTAACCCAATTTCCTTTTCAGGTACACCCAGGAGAACCCTTCCACGGTGTGGGCAACCGGGAAGTGATAACTGCCCTCATACCTCTAACAGCACTCAAGACCACCGTATTCATAATCAATCTCCTTCAATTCCTACTATTCCTTCTACCTTGACTTTCAACACTAAACTTCCTGTTCCGGTTTCCTCCTCAAGTGTCACCATGGCCAACGATTCTAGTGCGCGGAACGCTGTCCCAGGTCTACTTAAACCTCGCTCCAAACTACACATTGGAGCCTTCAACGTACGTACCCTATGCCAAATCGGTCAACAGGCCTCCCTAGCTAAAACCCTAGAATCTCGTACCATTGATGTATGCTGTGTCTCCGAAACACGCATACAGGATCCCAGTGTGGTCATTCACTTGACCTCACCTCGCCAAAATGGACAGCCAACGAAATACACCCTCCGTGTATCTGGCGACCCGTTGGCTAGTTCTCGCGGACTTGCAGGTGTAGGCATAGCACTAAGTACAAGGGCAGAACAGGCACTATTAGAATGGATCCCCGTTAACAGTCGCCTGTGTGCTGTCCGGCTGAATGGCTCCGTAAGAACTCGGAAGGATAGGGACACACGTCGTTGCCTTTTCGTCGTTTCTGCCTACGCTCCGACCGACTGCAGCCATGATGAAATGAAAGATGTCTTTTACAGAAAGCTCTCTGAGCTTCTTCAGAAAGCTAAGCGCTCAGACATAGTACTCATAGCGGGTGACTTTAATGCCCAGGTAGGCAGCTTGAATCAAACAAAAGACATTTAGGTGGGTGTTTTAGTATTCCGGCTCAACGAACCGATAATGGTGATCGTCTGTTGCAACTATGCTCAGACAATCGTTTATTTTTAGCAAGCACTAATTTTAAACATAAGGAGAGACATCGTCTAACATGGCGACCACCTGCACCAAACCAACGATGGACTCAAATAGACCATATTGTCATCAGTCATCGTTGGAGAGGCTCAATAGAAGATTGTCGCTCGTATTGGAATACTTGTTTAGACTCTGATCACGCTTTAATACGAGCGCGCATTTGTCTGCGCCTCAATGGACGCAGGAAAAGTACACTAAGAAGACCCATTAGGATTGAACTGGAGGACGAGAAAGCCAAATGCGAATTCCAGAAACAACTGAGTTCACATCTAGGCAGTTCTGTAGACAAGACTGACACAGATGCTGCTTGGAAAGACATACGAACAGCTGTGGAAACAGCAGTTGCATCTATTAGTCATTTAAACCATAGGGCTCCAAAAAACCAATGGATTTCTTCTAAGTCTATTTCACTGATGGATTCGCGTAAACTCATCCCATCAGGCTCTGAACATGACGAAGAGCGTAAAGAAATTAGATCTAGGTTAACTAAAAGTCTAAGGAACGATCGTGAGCAGTGGTGGGCAACGAAAGCAAAAGAGATGGAAAAGGCAGCGGCTGTAGGGAACACCAGGCAACTATTCAGACTAATAAAAGAAACCGGAATTAAGAAGTCAAGTGTAAGTGAGACAATCTCGGAAAAAGATGGAACCCCTACCTGCTCTCAACCCAAACGTTTAGAACGATGGGCGGAACACTTTAAGGAGCAGTTTAGCTGGCCTTCAGCTACTGCACAACTACCCACTATCCCTAGAAAACCTGAATGGAACATTGAAGTAGGCCCCCCGACCCTACTTGAAGTTCAAAAGGCTATAGGTAATCTGAAACGAGGAAGAGCAGCTGGTCCAGATGGATTGGCTCCAGAGGTCTTTAAATATGGTGGTCCGATTTTAGCGATTAGGTTGACTAATATTCTGGCTAAAATCTGGGAGACGGATGTAATCCCATCCGACTGGTCACAATCACTGATTGTCCCAATATATAAAAAGGGGTCAAAATCATCCTGCGATAACCATAGAGGGATTAGTCTGACCAACATAGCATCTAAAATACTAGCCTCAATAATTATCGGGCGCCTAACTAAGACTCGTGAACTGCAAACACGAGAAAATCAGGCTGGCTTCAGACCTGGTCGTGGCTGTATCGACCACATATTCACCATTCGTCAAGTTTTAGAGCACAGACACGCTTATCGGCGTCCGACAGTGATAGTTTTTCTTGACTTGAAAGCAGCATTTGACTCTGTAGACCGAGAGGTTCTGTGGCAGTGTCTGTCATTGAAAGGTGTACCTGAGAAGTACATAAACCTTGTGAAGGCTCTTTACTCGAACACTACCAGTCGAGTGAGAGCTTATGGCGAACTGTCATATGATTTTACAACCTCAAGTGGTGTCCGTCAAGGCTGTCCACTATCCCCATTTTTGTTTAACTTCATAATAGACCTGTTGCTGGAAATAACACTCTCTTCGACTGAATTTACAGGAATTGATCTCCTACCAGGGGGACCACTAAGCGACTTAGAATACGCAGATGACATAGTCCTGTTTGGTGAAGACGCTGGCAAAATGCAGAGTCTTCTGTTGGAACTCAGTAATAATGCCAGGGTGTTTGGGATGCGATTCTCCCCATCCAAATGTAAATTGTTATTCCAGGACTGGCCTGCATCAATACCTGAACTAAGGATAGGGAGTGAAGTAGTTGAACGCGTTGACAACTTCACTTATCTTGGAAGTCTGATCAGCCCTAATGGGTTGGCGTCTGACGAAATCTCAACACGGATTCGAAAAGCTCGTTTGGCTTTTGCCAACTTACGTCACCTATGGCGAAGGCGAGATATCTGTCTATCAATTAAAGGACGAGTATACTGCACAGCAGTTCGCTCTGTTCTACTTTACGGTTGTGAAACATGGCCATTAAGAGTAAAAAATACTCGTAGGTTACTAGTATTTAATCACATATGCCTTAGAAATATCGATCGCATCTGTCAAGATCACCGGATAAGTAATAGCGACGTTAGACACAGGGTATTAGGGAACGATGGTAAATCAGTTGATGAGGTGATGAATCTTCATCGACTGAGATGGTTGGGCCATGTGTTACGTATGCCTGAACACCGATTACCACGACGCGCTATGATGACTAGTGTAGGGGATGGTTGGAAGAGAGTTAGGGGCGGCCAAACCAAAACGTGGCATCAGAGCTTGAAGTCACTAACTTCTAGTCTGAGCCATGTTGGTAGATGCAGACTACTTGGTTGAGGTCAGCGTGACTATCGTAACCAATAGTTGGAGACTCTAGGTGACAAGGCTCAGAATCGATCACAATGGTGTAGGTGTATACACTATTTATCTTCCCTTAAACCTTAAGATTAAAATTGCTTCATAACGTTCTTCCTTCCTGTACTATATCCTTATATACAACCTATAATTTATATACTACTACCACCAGTAAATTAATTAATTCTATGAACCCGGTGTTCATCTTGTTGTACTAACGAGGTATGGCAACTTGAACCGATGCATAAATGTGCCTGGTCCTACGTTGTAGCTGACTGACTGACATTTGGCTTTATCATCACTGAGTTCAGCGATAACGGGTCTTCTTAATGTGACTTCTGCCTTCAGTTAGGCACCAGAAATTATGTGCTCGTATTTGGGTATGATCAGAGTCTAAGCATGTATTCCAAAACGAGTGACAGTCTTCTTTCGAGCCTCTCGAACGATGACTGATGACAATACAGTCTAATTGAGTTCATCGTTGGTTTGGTGCGGGGGGTCGCCATGTTAGTGCTTGTTAGAAACAAACGATTGCCTGAGCACAGTTGTAGCAAACGGTCATCATTATCTCGTTGAGACAGAATACCAAAATACCCACCTAAATGTCTTCTTGTTTGGTTTAAGTTGCCTAAAGTACGCCTGTTACTTTTCGTGGAGAAGCATAGGCTTCCCGCCAGCACTCTGAACTTTGCCCTGGGCAATCCTTTTTCGTTTCGACTCATCATTTTAATGTCTGCTTCCAATTCTCGGCGCATTGTGTTCTGTCTTTCTCTCTTCCGTTTCCTTTCAGGATTCCAAGTTAGCGCTTGCTTCGTGGTACAGTTTGATGATTTCTGCAATGTATGTCCTATCCACTCTCAGCGTCTTTCCCTAATTTCTTCTTCAGCTGAAAGCTGGTTTTCCTTCTTCTACGTACCCACCTACTTGGGAATTAAAGTAACCTGCTACGAGTACTATGTCTGAGTGTTTAGCTTTTTTAAGACTTTCAGAAAGCTTTCTGTAAGAGTCATCTTTCACTTCATTCGGGCTGCAGTCAGTGGTAGCGTACGCGGAAACGACGGAAAGGCAACGACATGTGTCCTTATCCTTCCGAGTTCTTACAGAGCCGTTTAGCCGAACAGCTGATGGGCGTCTGTTAGCAGTTACCCATTGTAATAGGGATTGTTCTGCCCTCCTACTTAGTGCTATGCCTACACCCACCAGTCCACGAGAATTAGCCATCAGGTCGCCAAATAAACGGAAAGTGTATCTCATCGGCTCCCCATTTTGTGTAGGTGAGGTCATGTGAATAGGTCAAGTAAATGACCGCACTAGGACCCTGTATGCGTGTTTCGGAGACTCAGTATACATCAATGGTACGAGATTCCAGGGTCTTAGCCTAGGAGATCTGCTAGCTGGTTCGACACATGATACATACTTTGAAGGCTCCCATGTGTACTTTGGAGCGATGTTTCAGTATACCTGAGATGGTATTTTGGGCACTAGAATTGTTGGCCATGGCGACACTTGAGAAGGAAGTTTAGGGTTGATAATAGAGGTAATAGGAATAATAGGAATTGAAGAGGGAGATGTGATTATGAATACAATAGTCTTGAGTGCTATGAAAGGTATGAGAGCGGTTATCACTGCTCGGTTACCCACACCGTAGAAGAGTTTTTCTAGGGGTAACTGAGAAGCAAACTACATTAGGGTTGGCCTTGGTGACCTGTGAGCGTGACCTCAGTGCTCAAGAGACAACTGCTTGGGCCGGTCACACGCTTTTTTGTGGGTAATTTTTGTGTTAGCCCTTCCTGTTAAGTACAGAACACCAATCCCAGCCTCTGCGATATGAATCATGTATTTCAAACATACTGGGTTTATTTACAAGCCAAACAGACCGCATCACACCATAAAAATAGAAAATAACATTTGAACAAGATCTAGCCAAAAGTGGTTGTGAATGTGGGAGATTGTAATTAATAGACTGGGTATAACTCAAGAACAGTAAGTCGTATAGTGCTAGTCTATAGGTCGAAATAAAGCTTATAATAGGAGGAACATGAATATGCATAGTTTAGTTACTTAACATCAACCAACACCAAGATCAGAATCTTCAATACAAATGTCAAGACAGTCCTACTGTATGGGGCGGAGACGTGGAGAACTACAAAAATCATCATCCAGAAGATACAGGTGTTTATCAACAGTTGTCTACGCAAGATACCTCGGATCCGTTGGCCAGACACTATAAGCAACAAGCTACTGTGGGAGAGAACAAACCAGATTCCAGCGGAGGAAGAAAACAAGAAGAAGCGCTGGAAGTGGATAGGACACACATTGAGAAAATCACCCAACCGCGTCACAAGGCAAACCCTCACATGGGATCCTGAAGGCCAAAGGAGGAGAGGAAGACCAAAGAACACATTACGCTGAGAAATTGAGACAGACATGAGAAGAATGAACAAAAATAGGGTAGAACTATAAAGGAAGACCCAGGACAGGGTGGGTTGGAGAATGCTGGTCGGCGGCTTACGCTCCATTGGCAGTAACAGGCGTAAGTAAGTAAGTTATTTAACAATTATACAGTAAAAATATATGTATCGTATTGGTCCATAAATAATTCTCAAGAGTTACCATTCATAATTCTCGTCGGGATATAACAAAGGCGAGGTGTACATTTTTAGGGTCGACCTGTTCTAGTCCTACTCTTCCGTGTGGGAAGGCGGCATCGCTGTTATCCTGGTTTTCTGAAGGTGACACCTTACTACTGTCACACCTCTGTACAGTCAGCAGCACGACTTCGCCTTCGAACCTTGGGTTTGCTGCTTTTAGTCATACCACTCTTCAACCGACCTGTTTGGCATGGTAGGTCCTTGAGGAATGATTGTTTCAGCCAGTATAGCTCGATTGGTTCATCATGATAGGCAAGACCGACCACCACGTCAGGGTAACAGCAAAGGCCGGGCAGGACTATGATACCGAATGGAATTATGTTAATGATCATATGGTATAAAAAGTAAAGATCTTAATGGTTGTGGAAGTCACATTCAATACATGAGATTTAATAAACTAAACAAACTTTCGTATACAAAGTCTAGGGTTTAATTACCATAGCCTTCACTGTATTCAAAGTTTTCAGGCATACACTATTTAAAAAACTTAAGAGAAGTTATATTTTCTATTTATATTGAAATGTCAAATAGTTTGATGACCTGTAGGGAAAATGTCTGTTTGGTCTCTCCTACTTTAATGTTTATTTTAGGAGGCTGCAGAAGACGGAACATTGTACAACTTTGCGCACTACGCAGATACACTTTTTAGTAATGATTGTCGTGAGTGGATAAGTATTTTGGCTCAAACACCTTGTATTATGCGGACAATTGCAAATGAATTTCAGAAGGTCCTACAAGTCACTCTTAGCAATGTAAGTTTTCCATATCATTTGAATAGCTTCGTATTGTGTCTTGAACGAGCAGTAAATTGTTTTTAATTTCTGTGTACTTTGATTATAATCATTTCGTTTACCCGTTTGCTTCAATACTAAATTTAGTTCAGAAATCAACCGGTAATATTAGTAGTAATACGTCATGTTTGTTTCATGCTATGACGTTCACTGTTATGTTGTAAAGCTGAAAAAAGTAGTTGACAGTTTCTGCGAATAATGTAAATGGAAGACTGATAAGTGAACTTATTTTTACGTTACTTAAATCTTCCTGGTTATAAGCTCCCTCGTAGTCATTTAACGATTACTGTTTAAACCAGGTTAACTGTACAGCCAAGGTTAGGCTACAAGTAGATAAAGATTCATCTTAAAAAGTAGTTTAGTACTAATCATGTCTTAAATTTTCGCCGAATATTATTCTATTTTCAGTCAAAGTATTGCTAAATTTTGAGAATATTTCATCTAATCGAATTATTTGATCTACTCAATTTGTTTATGTTGTGCTTCTGGATATTTATGTTATTGTATATATATATATATATATATATATATATATATATATATATATATATATATATATATAGACTTGTACCTTTATAGTTGTCGTTTGCTTTACGTAGATCTTTTTTAGGGATGATGAAAACTACCAATCTAATTCAAGGTGATATAACATTTTTCATATCTCAAATCCTTCCAAACAATCCAGCCAGTTCCAGAAGTTTATCACCATCCTTCAGAGAAGCCGAAGTATGTCTTATAGACTCAGTCAATCAGTCAGCTACAACGTAGGACCAGACATATATTTGCATCGGTCCAAGTTGCCATACCTCGTTAGCACAACAAGATGAACACCGGATTCATATAAGTAGTTAATTTAGTGGTGGTAATATATAAAAGAAAGGTTGTATATAAGGATAAAGTATAGGAAGGAAGACAGATATGAAGCAATTTCAATCTCAAGGTTTAAGGGAAGATAGTGTATACACCTACGCCATTGTGATCGATTCTGAGCCATGTCACCTAGAGTCTCCAACTATTGGTTACGATAGTCACGCTGACCCCAACCAAGTAGTCTGCATCTACCAACATGGCTCAGACTAGAAGTTAGTGACTTCAAGCTCTGATGCCACGTTTTGGTTTGGCCGCCCCTAACTCTCTTCCAACCATCCCCTACACTAGTCATCATAGCGCGTCGTGGTAATCGGTGTTCAGGCATACGTAACACATGGCCCAACCATCTCAGTCGATGAAGATGCATGACCTCATCAACCGATTTACCATCGTTCCCTAATACCCTGTGTCTAACGTCGCTATTACTTATCCGGTGATCTTGACAGATGCGATCGATATTTCTAAGGCATATGTGATTAAATACTAGTAACCTACGAGTATTTTTTACTCTTAATGGCCATGTTTCACAACCGTAAAGTAGAACAGAGCGAACTGCTGTGCAGTATACTCGTCCTTTAATTGATAGACAGATATCTCGCCTTCGCCATAGGTGACGTAAGTTGGCAAAAGCCAAACGAGCTTTTCGAATCCGTGTTGAGATTTCGTCAGACGCCAACCCATTAGGGCTGATCAGACTTCCAAGATAGGTGAGGTTGTCGACGCGTTCGACTACTTCTCTCCCTATCCTTAGTTCAGGTGTTGACACAAGAAACCCTGGACACGGGTTTCGTGCTACTTGGCACTCGTCAGTAAGGTGTACCTGTAATCTTTAGGGAACTGGTGCTCCCTGACGTATTCGATCCCGTGTCACTCAGCTTCACAGTCAGAGACGTTACCACTGAGCTATCGGGGCCGCAATGGAATGTTTCTGCCACGATTCGAACCTGGGTTAGTGCAAAATGCTTATAGGCTAATGAAATATTTTATAAGCCAGTCAAAACATTACAGGACAGCTTGATCGATTTTGTTTATGCAATAAACCTTATGTCTATAAAGGTTATCAATGTATGCACTATCGACCTCAGATTGTTTCACTGATACCGAGTTGAGTTCTTGTTGTTAGCGTCTCTTTTGTGTTTAGACAGCTTCCGGCATTAACCAGATGCAGTTGTTGTTTACAACTCGTTAGTACGCTCTTGCCACCAGGTTTCTTGGTCCTTGCACCAGCTTTGTGAAATTTTCCGATTCAGGGTTCTGCATTAACTGCCAAACTTGTATTTCTTTAGAGTAGAAAGCTTTGTGTCAAGAAGTGGAGCGCTTTCATGAACCCTGTGTTTAATAGTTGGACTGTGAGCTACTTTTACAAGCCATTATTTTAATGCCATCCAAATGTAACCAGGATTTATCTGCACTTCTAAATGAGTCGTTAACTATCCCGAAACTTTGAATTAGTTTAGTGTTTAGTTGCAATGACAGGCACAATCAATTGTACTAATACCGATCCGTTTAAGGCAATGTGTTGACTTTTGAAACGCAAGATTAGCCTGACTTCTATCAGTCAATAATCAGGATCCAGATAGGTTTATAGTGTCGGCTACTATGTTAAGCCCACATAACTTATTCTAGCTTCTGGACAGGCCAATTTATCCATTCTTCTTGAGTCACATTTTGACCTTGTCGACTATTCACTTATCAACCCTGTTTTTATTTGAGCGCATATGTATGTACATCTTATCCTACTCATCACATGTCTGTAGTTTATTTTTGTGTAACTATAAATATTGATTAACGCTTGATTAAATCGAGTCAGCTCACACGCCATATCCACTGCACTTCATTTCTCTTCGCTCTCTTCTCTTTGTTTCATTCCTCTGATTGTTTGTTCAAATCAATGAGTGTGAAAAATATACGCATTCAAAAATCCATTCTCGTATTTGATTTATTTAATTCCGTTATTCACTAATACAAGTTAAGTCAATGATTATATACGAGGATTGGCGACATACATATTTCGACATGTATATCAATAATAATCAATCATACGATCTAACTGGAGTCAAATACAGGGACACTAAAGGTTCTTCAGAAGGAGCACCATTCTTGCTTAGGTCTATACCACTGGGAGCTACTTGCAATGTAATCAAATTGAGTCTAGGCTTAGGTTGAAGAGGGAGGTCTCCAGGTGGCCGATAAATGTATGGAAGCTGGTGCTGACCCGTTACAAGTTATGATCTCTACAAAACTATTGGAAGAGGTCCCTGTCATCCAACATATGGTTAATTTGTTCTTACTACTTACTCAGACCACTCTACTTTGTATGTTGACACCTGACCTATGCATTCAATTCCCTAGCTAGCACGATATCTGTCGAACGCACTTTGTTAAATAGATCACTTCGTTGACGGTAGAATTAGTCTTTTATTTCATTAGAGTCACAGTCTGTCGGTGCGTTAAGGCGTTTTACTTTTAGGCACTAGGTCGTAGATCCAAACTCTGATGCACCTACTTTAATTTGAGCAACTAGGTAGTATTACTAGTCCTCACACTTAGAGTGGGGCTTGAAAGCATATACACTCGTCCGCACTTCGTAGATGAGTTGAATAGCATCCTGGTCTAACGGTACATAAACGTCTCTTAACAGGTGTCCTGTCGACCAGTAATACTTCTGCTTTGGGGATCAATGTGTAATAAAAACTAACAAGACCTGATATGGATGCCATAAATTACTCAGGTAAGTGCATGTGAAACGAAAATTCATGATCGACATGTAAAAGGAGAATTTGTAGTACTTCGTTAAAATCTTGAGTGCGCGTTTGAGATATACATCGTATATCGGTATCGAGACTTTCTAGACATCCAAACCTATTTTGTCTAATGCCAGACACCAAAATTTTAAATGTTTCACGAGGTTGCAGAAAGGTTATTTCAACCTACATTGCGTAACAGCATTCAGGAAATTGACTATCTACCCACCCCTACAACCGTTTAGACAGGAGCGAACTCTCAGCAAAAACAATCTATCGAGTTAAAAAATTGAAATTAGTGTAGGAAAATGTGTATGCGATATAGGAATAACCTAAAGTAAAAGGTCAAAGTGCAATAAAATAAAACTAAATGTGACATAGTTTTTATAAATTGTATGCGTCAGCGTCTAAGTTTTGTTCATTAATTCTTATTATTATATGTGTATGGGCTGAAATACTGTCCGGACACCCAAACTGAAACAGATGACTCTTTTAGAAGGCTACTCCTCGAACCTCTGGCTTATAGTTCTAATCCACAAGGCTATGAAGCAACACTTTCGTGGTTTTACATTTACAAATTGAGTTATTTAATTACGCCTGTTACCCCTCGTGGAATAGCATAGGCGGCCCACCTGGATTCTTCATCCAACTCTGTCGTAGGCAATCCTTTCCAGTTACCATTCATCCTTTGTAGTGTGTTCCTCGGCCTTCCTCTTTTCTGTTTCCCTTCAGGACTCCAAGTTAGCACTTGTTACGTGATGCAGTTTGATGATTTCCGCGATGTATGTCCCATCTACCTCTAACATCCTTCCCTAATTTCCTGTTCATTTAGAATCTGGTTTGTTTTCTATCATAGTAGGTTGTTGCTGATGGTATCTAGTCAATGGAAATTCAGTATCTTGCATATACAATTGTTTATAAATATTCGTGCCGTTTTGATGATGTTTGTGGTAGTTCTCAGAGTTTCAAGACTGGCTTGACGTTCGTATTTGAAGATTCTAATTTTGATTTTGGTTGACAATTGTTTCGAGTTCCGTACGTTCCTCAACTGTAGGAATGTTGTCCTTGCTTTGCCAATCCTCGCCTTTACATTTGCATCAGATCCTCCACGTTCATCGATGATGCTGCCAAAGTACGTTAAAGTTTCCAACTTTTCCAGCACTTCTCCGTCAAGTGTGATTGGGTTAGTGTTCTTCGTGTTGTATTTGAGGATTTTGCTTTTTCCTCTGTGTATGTTGAGGCCTACTGCTTCAGAGAACGCAGTATGTTAATCTCAAAGTTGAGCGCCTACTGAATCTTTCACCAGGTTCAGCAACACTGTTGAAAACGTTTTCTGGTACTGACAGTAATGTGATGCTTCTGTAGTTCTCACATTTGCTCAGATTTCCTTTCTTTGGTATCTTGATGAGGTATCCTTCTTCCCAGTCTGTCAGTGGTACTTGTTCTTCCTCCCAAATCTTCCTGAATAGAACGTGAAGCGTGTTTGTAGGTACTTCAATGTTTGACTTCAGTGCTTCAGTTGGTATGTTGTCTACTCCTGCTGCTTTCCCACCCTTCATTAGTGGTGGTGGCCAGCCTGATTTTTCAATCGTTGGTAGTCTGGGAGCTATAAGCATGTATGCGTGTGTTGCTTCGATGTCGAGTGGGCTCAGTGGGGCTGGTCTATTCAAGAGTTCTTTAAAGTGCTCTACCCACCTGTTCCTCTGTTCTTAAATCTCAGTGATTGACTTGTCTCCTTTGTTCTTAACTAGTCTCTTTGGGTTACTATATTTCCCCATTATTTTCTTCGTTGTCATATAGTCGTCTCATATTTTCTTCTGTTGTACCTTTTTCCTGCTGTCATTGCTAGGTCTTCCACGTTCTTTTTCTTATCGGTTCTAATGCTCATCTTCGCTTGCTTGCTCGCTTCTATGTATTCGGTCTTTGCCTTGACTTTTTCTGTTCTTGTTCGACTGTCGTTAATTAATGTCTTCTTGTTCTTCCTTTTTTGACTTCTATCCAGTGTTTGGAAAAAGATCTATTCCTTATGATGATGCTTCTTGAAGCCCGACACCTGACATGTTGAAGTTAGTGCTTCTTTCATCCCTTTCCAGTTGTTCTCTATAGTAGTTTCCTCTTTTTGGGTAAATCTTTTACTGCTTGTAACCTGTTGTTGAGAGTTATCATGAATTCTTTGAGTTTGTCAGTATCTCGAAGGAAGGCTGTATTCAACCTTCGTAGGGCTACTTCTTCAGTTTTCCAGAGCTTCTTTAGTTTCAGTTTCATCTTGACAACCACCAGGTGGTGATCTGAAGCTACGTCAGCTCCTCTCCTGGTCTTCATGTCTTCCATTGACCTTATGAATATTTTACTGATGCAAATCTTATTTATCTGGTTCTGGGTAGTGTGATCTGGTGAGACCCATGCAGCTTTCTGTATGTTTGTGGGGGGATATAGTGCCATCTACAACCATTTTGTTGAATGCACATAAATTTGCAAATATCTCGCCATTCTTGTTCCTTTCTCCCACTCGGTCCATGTCATCCCCATGATATCTTCATATCCGGTGTTGTCCATTCCGACTTTGGTGTTTAGGTCTCCCATCAGAATGGTTAGACTCTTTCTTGTACACTTCGCTATGACTGATTGCAGCCTCTGGCAAAACTGATCTTTATCGTCTTCATTTATATCATTAGTGGGTGCATAGCACTGGATAACATTCATTGTGATTTCCTCCTTCTCTGTCTTGAAGGATGATTTGATGGTCGTGGATCCATGAGATTCCCATTCTATAACTGCTTTTCGTGCCTCTTTGGACAGAATCAGAGCAACTCCCTGCATGCGCGAAACATCTTTTTCATGACCAAAAAAAACAGCATCTCATTTCATGTGCCTACATTAATTGTTTCTCTGGTTGTTAGAAGGCCATCGGTTTCGTGATTTTTGAATAAATTCCACTTTTACCATGAAACATAATTCTTGTAAATGAAGATCTTTCAACTCTAAGGACAGAGTTTAAATTTTTTTCTGGTTAGCGTTTTTTAGCGAGGTCGTTTTCTACGGGATGGGGTAGCTGAACCCATTCCCATCGCTCCTCTTTTACTCTGTCTTTGGATCGGCAGTAACCCTAGGAGAGCTACAGGCGGAGTTCAAATTGAGTTAATTTGTAATTAATTATCCTTATTTAGCTTCCTAGGAAATGTCTGAACATCCTTCTGTTAACAGTGGTTTATTTAAACAGTTTATGGTAATAGTTTTGAATATTATTTGTTATCTTTAAGTTTATTAGACTGGGTCTCAATGAATATATATCCAACTTATTATTCAGTTGTTCTGTATTTTCGCTTGTCTATTTCGCGATATGATTGTTTAATACGTAGTTAATACTATTAAATCCACTCCTAAAATTATTGTAAACACAGAATAATAGCGTAGTTCCTTGAATCCCTTTTTTTCAGGCATCTAGTCGTCGTCAAGCTGAGATAAAATTACGTTTTTCTGATCCACATTCATGTCAATTATGTACCCCAAGTTTTGGTTATGATCCAGTTGGTCTGACATCTTCTGGGCCATCTTCAGGTTCATGTTGTGTTCTAACCCATCACTCTGACAGTCCACAATCTTACTGGTCGAATATGTTATCTGGACACACTAATTATAGTGGTACAAGTACAAGTGTTAACAGTGCAAGTAGTTCAGTTGACCGTGTTACTACTATGCCTGTACCTTTCAGTCCTATTTTTACAAACCATGGATTTAATCATTCTTTATCTTTCACGTCGTTTACAAATCCACGCCAACCTAAGGCAACAGATCATTTTCTATATAGTAATATGAAACATATATCTGGTCAAAGGTCAGTTAGCAATTCACCATCATCTTTTCAACCATTTCACAAATCTACATCGGAATCTACAAACCAAGACATCAATCACGGTCAAGTTACGGAAATAATTGGTTTATCAACATCGTCTTCATCATCTGCAGTCAATGATGACAGCATAAAAACTAATCCTGATAATGAGTCATCTAGTGTACATGAAAAAGGTTTCTCAGATGATACTGATAACTGTTCTTCAGAACCTGGCTCGTTCAAAGAAAATCAAGCACAATTAATGGAACTTTTTAATTTTACTAGTGACATGACTAACATTTTACCAACTTGTAATCATATGGTTATCGCTTTTCGTTATCTTCTACCTCAACTTCTGCTTCTACCAAATTTCCAATTATTATATCTGGCAGATCATATTGAGGTAGTGTAATTTCATCATTGTTTTTTTGTGTCAAATAACTGTGTAAACGTTTTGTCAATGATGTTAGGAATAGATAATATTCAAGTCTGTAAACCTATTCATTTGTGAGACAGCTACCCACCGAGGAAAATGGAAGATGATCACTCGATTTCGTGGGTTGATTTAGATTGAAAACTAACACCTTTGAATGCCGGCTCAGTGGTCTAGAGATTAAATGTTCACGCGCGAGGCCGAAAGTCCTATGTTCGGTTCTCGGGTGTGGATACGCACTTCGGAGAAGCCCCTTACTAGAACGAGGCGGTCGTCCAATGCTTCTAAGTTTCCAATGATTGTCTAACTTATATTGGTTCATGATTTCAATGCTGTTTTAGTTTGTCATATATAGAGTGCCTGTTGTTTTGTTCGCCCAGGATTATATCAAATAAGTGAAAAATAATGATGATTAGGAAAGTAAAACGCAATATTCATTGAAAAATAATCTTCACCGATATCTGTCGTCACTTAGTAAACCATTACTAACAAGAGACATTTAGATAGCACTTTCTTCTTAATTCTGAACTGTTCTATGGAGTGCTCAAATCCCAACAACACGTTTGAAGTTCTTTTACTATTTTATCTATAAATATTATTGAATTACATGTTCCATGCTCTCTTTATGTTTAAATTTTTTATTCCTGCTTAAAAACATAAAACGTTTTACAATTTAGAGATATTATAATTTAAAAGCAAGATGATTGTGTAATTTGATATTAAAGTATAGGTAAAGTATATATTGTTTTTAGAGAATCTGTTTACTCATAGCATACCAACAAAAAATGTTTCATTTCTCAGATTCATTTATTTAAAAGAAATTGTAGAGGCGATAAATAGTGAATGAAATTTTTGTTTACACGTTAGATCCACCTACGAATACACACAATGTTATCTTAACATACTTTTCACTATACACCACATGTTTCATACACACTAGAGCAAATACTTACTTTAAACATTGTTAACATGATTGGATAACATATTTAGTATACAGTTGGCCGAAGAACGATATACCTGTTCATATTCGGTAATTTTGATGTTTGATTATATTTCCTTGAAAAAGCTCGGACCAGATTGCCGAGTGAAACGTTGGATTTACCACAAATTCATTCCTTGGGGTTTTACAATTACATTCTTCCTCCTTAATGTGATGTTTACATGCCGAAGAACATAAATTGTACATATGAAGGTTTTTGCAAACTTCAGATGCATTAGAATAGCTTGTCATGACTGACTGCTAAGTATTAGAGACTAGTCAAACATGATTTTGTGGTTCAGCTTGGGCAGTTTTGAAGGTGTTCTGTATGTTGTCTCTGGTGTCTTGAAAGATTTTTTAACTAATACATAGATCTTATCTCTGTTCTTCAACTGTTATTGGTGATTTTGATAAGATGTTGCAAAACTCCAGTAATATCAATTTGTCACTAGACTAGTTTGTCTAATTTACTAATAATAAATATACCTGCAAACTTAGTACACAACATTGTACGTTGTTACCGAGTTGATTTGTTATTATTCATTGTTTAAGGAGTATAGGAACTTATAACAATGCAGTACTATCGGAGTTTTTAAGTTTTCTTATTTAATATTGGTATATTTTATAGAAGTATTCAGTATTCTTTATATACATGTTTATTTTGTCATGACTATCGAATTAGTCTTTGTTTAAGACAATTAGATGCTTCTCATCTTTAGGCTCTACATGCTCATGCTACTGAAGAAAATGAACGATCGACCCTCGAAGATGTAATATCACTGCTATCTAAAACCCGGTCCACTGTATCCAATGCATTATTTAACCAAGACTGGGTGAAATCTGTCTCTCCGACATTAGCTTTCTTCTTGAAAACTCCTTTTTGTTCTAATCTATATCCAGCTGAAGGGAGAAGTAAATTGGAAGAATTGATTTCTTCAGTTCGTCGCACGCAACACTCTTCCGAACTTCCACTTGTTATGTCCGAGTTTCTGATGGGTATGTGTGAATCTTATGTTTGTAATATTGTTTATTCAGCATTGTTTTCAGATGAAAGTTATGCTTCAGAATTCATTTAAATGTAATTTGTAGTATATGAGGCTGTATATCATCAATATATTTTGGTCATCGGAAATTCCCTAAAACTTTTTAAATCGAAAATGTCGAAGATATACATTTTCCAATGAAGTTAGCATTGTAGGGATTTATTACCATTTATTTGTAGCCACTCTTATATCTTTGCTTCAAAATAGTTACAACCATGTTGTGATTTTCCGAAACTTAAAATGTTCAAACCATACTGTAGTTTCATTACTCTTACTGCCTTACTTTTACTTGTTTGATACACAGTGTTGAAACTATTTCCTTTTTTGGAGATATTATCAGAGTTAACACCTGAATAATTATCATTCTGAAATTATAAACACTTCTTTTGTTTTTTTCTTACTGATGGTAATTTTAGTTCATAATTCCTGGTTTTCTTTGATTAATCCTTAGCTTATCCTTAACTTATAATAAACAATGTACCTAACGATTATTTTCTTAAAATTTATTTATGATTCTTATAAATTGAATTTTCGAGACATAGAATTAAGTTTATTATACACACTAACTTCGTGTAAAATACTTGATTTAAATTCCAAACTCTTGTTTGCGAAATTAGACAAAAACGAATGAGTCTAGTGTAAGCTGTTGTATCCCCCTACCAATTAGGAGATTGTGATCGACTAAAATATCAGCCCTCAAATGCCCTGGTACGGCCGAGAGTGGGGAGAGTCCTCTCTTCCTCTCGAAATGCTCTCACATGGCCAGCGAATATATAGCCTCTTCCAGGGAAGTCCTACTCACTGCCTTCTCGTGGCATTACTGTTGTTTACAAAATTGAGAGGACGAAAAGCGAATGTCAAGCGCTTTAACCGGGTTGGTGGAAAAGACGAGTCCACCTAGGGGAGTTGGAAAACCCTAATTCCAAACCAATGGTGCACATGGGCTTCAGTATCCTGAAGGAACAAATGGCGTACGAACCAATTGTTGGTCACCAGTCACCATGGGACTGCATCTCCTTACGATGCTCCACTGCCTTGTGGATCAGATCTTTCGGTCAAATGCTCCGGGTGTGAGCCCCTAAGAAAACCACCTACTTGAGTTTGGGCACCTGGGCAGTATCACAGCCCTCACACAAATCAAATGAGATTTATGAGGCGCATATGTATCTGGTGCTTCCTTGTACCAATATTTATGTGTTTAAATAATAAATAATAAATAACATTTTACATTTGATTTTCAAGCTTAACTGCTTTTATCCCCTCTCCATCTAGTCTTTACTAGTATATTTTTATTTGTAAAAACAATCTAGTTGAAGGATAAGTTGACTAGTGGTTACGATTAATGAAGTAGTTCATTTTGCGCAAATGCAAGACTCAGTAGATTTTGTCTTGGTTGAATGTGACTAGAACGCAATTATATATAACGATAAAATTCACTGTCATTCAAATAACATATGTGTACTCATTGTTTGTTTCCTTTTAAATTTTTTGATCGTCACCTAACTGTACTTCCCAGTTTCATTTACCTATTTGAATCAGTGCATTACAATGACATTTATGTCTGAATCAGATGAAGTACTATTATCTTTGTTGTGTTATTTTCAAAATAGAATCCTCTGAACTTTGTTTTCAAGAAAGAACCATAGTTTTTAAGTGTTACGTTTCTGTTAAAATATCTGTCGAATTCCTATATAAACGAATGGTTGAAAACTACTTACAGTACCTTATTCCACTCGATTACTGATAAGGATAACTGGAATCGGCATTATTATAGTTTTGACCATCTCTGTTATTCTCGTGATTTTACATTTTGTTACTTATTTTTCACCCCTGATATTGTTTCGAATTTTCCGAGACTTTTAAAATTGACTTTTAGCTACAAATCAATTATACTTTATTATTAATTCAGGAATGGAACAGTGGCTTACTGGTAGATATGTTCGACTTTCGCCCAGTTGATTTCGTATTCAAATTCTACCCTACCTATTTCTGTTTGGGCAACTGGTAAGTATCACTTGCCCTCAAACTTAGAGGGTTGGTCGTACCCAATTACTTGGTGAATGAATTGGATTTATTTTAATTGTCTTGTCCAAGTAGTTGCTCTGTGTTAGGTACACCAAAATCTCTTCTGAAACATTGTATTATCCTTCTTCGACAACCTACAGTTTGCCAATTTCGTTGTGTCTTTATCGTGTGTTAGTCTCCAATCTATCTAGTTGGCTTAAATCGTACATATTGGGATAATCTTCTGATCGTTCGTTTACAAAATTCGCAATAAACATATCCATTAATTCGTATTGGTTACATAACTTCATTTGGGCCATCAGAGAAGCATCCCTATCAACCTTAACGTATTATGCTAACATTCCTTTCTCCTACTCTTATTTTTCATGTTCTTACATAATTTTCGAGATTTTCTTCAATATTACTAAGCCTTTATTCCACCATACATTTAAATTTCAACATTTAGGACGTTATTTTATAGGAACTTTCGTTTAGATTGGAATGAATAGTTTTGTAGTAGTCGGGTGCCGAGTGTATAGCAAATATTCAAATATAAATTGTATTTGTAAAAATCTCAGCTTTCTAAATTAACAATAACTAGTGTTTCACCCGGTGGTCTAATCGGAGCTTTTTCCGAGAGATAATCAAAACCAAAAATTAACGCATCAGGTAACTCATATCGACACTTTAACAAATACTAAACTCGACATCTTACCATAATTGAATAGTCGTTTAGTACATTGATGTTTTGTGAATCTTACTTATATCCGATGATTATGATTTTCCATTATTTCTCGGAAGAAGCTCAAACCTGATCGCTGGACGGTAAGTTGGAGTTATTTTAAATTTAAATCGTTAGGATTTTTACGACTATAATTTCCATTTTAATGTTAACGATGTTATTTCGCTTGCTTATCTGCTTTTCTCATATAGTAGGATTAAAACTTTCTTCTTATCTTTTCAATAGAAACCTGGTTTAACATATACTGTGATTCCCTAATACTTTTTCCTTTGACAAATTGATAAATTTTGTATCTTAACTCGTTTACCTTCACAATAGTTTTATCACCTCACAATAAATATATACTCTGTCTCAAAACAACTAATACATGTAACTGAGATATTCAGGTTGATGGTGGGGCCTACAGAAATGCATAAACTCATGAAATTCTACTTCATAGTTTTTAATTGTTTCAAACGTTCATTTGTAAATAGGTAAATAAAATGTACGTTGTTATGGGGAAAAGTGTCAGTTACTATTAGTTCGCCTTCAAGTAAGTCAACCCAAAACAAACTTATTAATAGACACGTATAAATATCAGTAATATTATAGTGAATTTACCGTTCGATTTCAGTCTAAATTACAAATTCCCTTATTTACTATCTGCTTATCTATTATCTCTTTATATGTATTGTATTTTCTCTGTGTATATCTAGATGGCCCAGTACAAGTTAGAATTGATCATGGTCGTCCAAAGAAATCTGAACGAATTGCCTACCTATTTAGTAATTGGCTTCTATTGTGTAAAAAGCAAAAACGTGTACTAAGTAACGTTGTGTCATCTTCGTCGTCATCATCCAATTCAAACTATGTGTTAAAAGTGAAAAAACGCATTTGCTTAGAACAGTTTCATATAATTGATGTAGCTTCAGAGTTCAGTGACAATAATGGTAAATTATGTTTCTAATAAGAGTTTAATTCAATACGTCGACTTTTTTTGTTTCGATCTCTGAAACTTTTAAGGTTGTAAATTATATGTTGACTTCTATGAATTTCTGAATAGCTCTTTGGTTCTAACAACTTAATAATAAAGTTAACTTGTTTTTCAGCTCGTGATTTCAGACGTTAAGTTTAATTTTCAAACGTAGACGAATTTTTAACTGATGAAGCTTTCCTTCAGTGAACAACTGGTGTTCTTTTTTTACTAATGATTGAATTTTAATGGTTAATCCCATGTACTGTTTTACATTTTCTAATCTGTAGATCAAACTGTGTTATCTGCATCAATGTTTTTTTACCGCTTCCCTACTTTTAACATAGTACTTATATTTAAACTGGTATTTCGAAATTTTGTGTTTATTATTTGGGTGCTTATGGATTCACTAATACATAGACTGTTATGTGAGTCCTGTTTTTGTAATGTATACTTATGTGTTGTTGTAGGATGATGGACTCAAATATTCTGCATCATTCATCAATAGTTTTAAAAATTAAAGAATACATGAAGGGTAGCTAGTTGCTCTTCGATTCATAACAATGATCTGTAGTCCTTAAGTTTAGAGTTATTCGTTAAAATATTTGGTTGAAATTTCATAATTTCATAGAATATTGATAAGAAAATGGGTTAAAAAAGTTTACTAATGAAAACAATGCTCCTTAAAAATCAAGATTAAATTTAATTTCTGGATTTCAGATATTTCTTTGCTCAGGTGTTCTCCCTAACTCAGTTATTCTGATTGGTTTCTGTTCATATTATAATCGAGTGTCTCTTTAAACAAGAAAATAATGATTAGCTGAAACTGATGATTTTTAGAAATAAATTTATGTAGTATATAGATCATAGTGACGTTGAAATGTTCTGGCCTATAAGTTCTACTTACTATATTCATTACCTCTTGTTATTCCTAAACATAATCATAAACTAAACTTCTTTATTGGTGTTTGTATGTATAATTCACCTGCGACACTGAGTTATTGCTGATGTAAACTATTCATAATCTGCAGACTTATGAATTGGTAGTATATAACTGCGCGTTTATGTATATTTTGCCGAATCCGTGTCTTTTTCATTAAAACTGTCCGAATACCATGTAATTTAGCTACATTCATCAACTTAACTGAATCCTGATACTAGTGCTTGACTTCAGTGATAAATTGCATGATGACCGTCTATTTTTATTTTTATTGATAGACTTCAATACATTGTATAGTTCGGTCATTTAAAATACTTCATACGTCCTTGTTTCATTTAATAACCTATCTGAAGTCATTAGGATGGGAAGTAATTTATGTAGTGAATCCTTTGGGAAAATTGTTTACTTCCAAATATTGATATTAAATAGTATGACGTATATTTTCGTAAAAATCCAAAATAATCATGCTGAGTAGAGCATTGCTTTTAAATTTTGATGATTTTCATCAAAAACCCAAATGTAATATATAAATCCGATTTACTAAGACAGCCAACAAGTGATAAATAAATAGAGCAGCGATTCAGTTACTAACGGTTATTTATTTCAGAAGTGAGATCGAATAGTATGTGGTGGTTATAATTTACGAATTTGCGTAACTTCATCCATTCCACACTGTAGACTATTTTGTGAAAACATCTTCAATTAATAATATAATTGAGCACTCAATTCTTCCGGGTTTCTAATAATGATCGATTCACGATCTCAATCAAAATTGCTGAAGAGTTAAATTAACCTTCATTCCAATATTTGTGGCAATGCATTATAAATGCCAGACGTATACCTACTCTAAAAATCAATTAGAAGTGTGATTGAAAGAAGACAAATGGTTGAACGTAGAATTAAACGCAAATCTTTTAATTCGTCTGCTGTGTAGAAAAATTCATTGATTGGAGAAAATGAGATAATGCTGGTTTCACTGGTAGCCATTAATATCCATTCATTTCGGAATACAAATAAAAAATTTCCCACTCACCTCAATTTTTTGTTAAACAAGGTAACTAAAATTGATGAAGCTCTCCCTTCAAATATCTAACTGTATGATATTTCATGAATAGAGCAGTTAAAATAAGTGATGTCACGCATCTACTACGTGAAAAATTTTAACGATTTATTTGAACCATTGTTTATGTATATTTTGAAATCTCTTGTTATTAGAAGAAGGATTTAATGATTGAACAAGGTCTATAATGAATGAATAGAATCCCAGTTGATATATAACATGAAATGATACAAAATGGTCGAGTAATTGTTGCTCACGAAACTGGATTATTGATTCAAACCTCCCAAACGAACTGATATTAGTAGGCAAGACAACGATCCAGTGGAATAGGTATTTTTATCCAATAAAATAACACGCTTGTTGTGTGTAAACAAATTATTAACGGAAAAATTAACACTATTAGATGTCACAAACAATTGAAGATCGATTTTGTAGGTAAATTACTCATTCAGTCTTTAATAAAGACCTGAATGTTATGGCCAATTTCTCTTTGTTACAATACTAATTATAACTAAGTGTTTTTTAATTGTTTTTGTTTCTGGCAATCTTCTTTACAGGTATGTTATTTCTCTTTGACTTGGAATGTTGGGAAGCTCCTAAGCTATCATCTATCATGTCTAATGTACAAACGAACACAACTAGTTCATCCTGTAATTCTTCTGTTGTACAGGCAGAAACACAGTCCGTACTTTCTGGTTCATCCAATCATCATCATTATCAACTTCAACTTGGCAGTGTACTTTCTGTTTCTACACTTACAAGTACTAACACATTGATTGATCATACCGTTGACTTAAATAATATTGGAAATAATAATAATAATAATAATAATAATAATAATAATGAAAATGACAAATCATTGATTCTACCAACCGCTGGTGATGCAGTGGAAGCTTCAAATAATGCTTTATTGGAGGTGATCTCATCTTATCCCAAACAACGTTTCACATTTATTTTCTATAATAAAGAAGATAAAGCAAATTGGATATCAGCTTTAGTGTATCTCCATTTAGCTAGGTATTTTTTCAATAAATGAAAAGTATTTCTATTATCTACTGAGGAACAGTCTTTTTACGTTAAACACAATTTGATATATTTTTTGGTCAGTATTTTCTTAAGAATGAGCTCTGTACTTTATAGGCTTTATCACTGACAACGGGAATCCAAACAGCAAGGTAAGGTAGGCTCTTTTTAGGGATCCTTCCTTTCGTTGTTGGAAAATAGGATTACTCCAGTTACTGGTTGTTTGACAGGATCACTCTATGCTGTTACATCCCTGTACAGTTGGCAGCACGATTTCAGGGTCGGATCTTAAGTTGCTAATTTTAATGCTACTGCTCTCTAACCAACCGACCTGAAATAGTAGGATATAAAAGAAAAATTGTCGCCGCCAGTATAGTTCGATTCGATTATCACAATCTGTTAGCTTGACCACTACGTCACAGCTAGGAGCTACGATTGTGTTAGAAATATTTTTGGTTGAACGATTATCTGTAACAATGATAATATAATTCTTGAATTATACAGAGTTTGACGCGTCTACTTCATTTGTCTTCTCATAGATGTTAAGTATATAAGAATTTCTTTTCTATTTCAGATTGCTGTTTTCAATTTACCTCAAAATAATCTTTCTACCAAATCCTTTCTATTACTACTTTTAAACTTAGTCTTCTACTAATAGCCACTGTATTTGTATTAAGCTATCCATCAATTTAAATATACAAAGCTTCATTTCAGTCTTAAAAAAAAATTTTTTTTTAGGCTGTTTAAACGATATCTCACCTCTCTCCCTCGTCAAGATCTTCCTTTGATTTTACCATCTCCTTCAGTTTACCGGTAAGTGTTCTTAAAGTAGGTTTTTTTAATTTCTGAGTAATGTAATTTGTCATACATTTAATCTACAGTCTTCCTGGAAATCTATACCGATTTAGATAACGAGTGTCTATTTCTCAATTATTGACCCTACCTTGCATAGTATGACGGTACCATTATATATATGTAGTGATGTTTCCACAAAAGGCTTTTATTCAAAAATATGAATCAATCGAGTAGTTGGGTAACTTTCATTCATTTCTCTCCTCTTCACTTCGATTCGGTTTTTCATGACAAAAGTCAAATTTCGAGCATCTCACTTAAAGAATCTTGAAATTTTTAGAGAGGACTATCTTTATGCATAAAATGATTTGTTTTGGTTACAATTTGTAAAATCAGTCGAAATGACTTGTAAATTTTGTTGTTCTGTAATTATTCACAGGAAAAGACTTTATTGATTATCATATTAATGTGTATTGGTCTTGTCTTCATCTGTTGGAATATGCAACATGTCTTTAATGATGAGACAATAGTCAAATAGTTTGTTATAGCCTACCTTATCATGCTTATTTAATAGAATCATGAATATGACCAATTGATGAAGTTATTCCTCTGTTTTGGTATCTTCACTAATAATCAATAAAATTTGGAAAAAAACTGTACTTATATTTTCTCTCTTAATATGTTTCTTTTTTAAAAACTAAAACCTTTCGTAGACTGATCTTTTTAAAAAGAAGAAAAATTTAACTGTTTCCAAATATATTAGACTTGGTGATGTTGAGAAGAAAGTAATGGCGTGAACTAAAAGATTATAATTGATTTGAACTGGTTGTTTAATGTAATCTCTACTTGTCTTGTATAATTGTATTATGATATCCGGTTTGTCTTTGAAATAGAAAAGTAATTAGTGTTAAGATAGTGACAAACAGATTTCATTAACGGTATAAGGTTGCGGATATTGTTGAATTTCTTCGAAGTCACGAACCAAGTTAATTTGAACAGCTATTAGCGACCTGTAAGTTCTGAATAACCCTATATTCCGTCATTACGATAGAATATATTGCCCAGTAACTAATTTAAATTTTCTCATTTTATCTTACAAATGATCGGCATAAAAGAGCTTATTAATAATGTAGTTGACCATTGAATTGAGTAACTGTCGATTTTAATTTCACCATAGTTCCCATTTCGTATGTTGGTTGCCTTCAGTCATATAGATCTAAATAGTGCTTCTTAAAATAAATTTCTTCATTTTCGTATAAATAATAAGGCCATTGAGTCTGTCATCATATCTAAACACATTTGTTATTCAAAGAAGTAATCATTGACTTATCAATCAAACTTATTACATTTATTCCTATTCGTACCTAATATGAACAGTGACTGTAATTTTACTCAATGCGTTATCAATGTAAGCATGTTATTACTTTGTTTTTATTACAGATATGCTGTTCCTGATTCTCCATCGAATATTATATTTGAATCTTCTCAAACAGATGGTAGCGCAGGAATTCCTGTTATACGTGCTGCTACAATTTTGAAACTTATTGAAAGAATGACATATCATGAATATTTTGACAATAAAACTTTGAATGCATTTCTTTTGGTATGTTTAAGTACTTTTATCAATTTATTTTGTCCTATCTAGTTCATTAAATATACTTATTTTTTTATTGAGTTGTGCAAAAATTAAAACAATTTTATCTTTACTACTAATAAGCATTGAAAAGTAAGTATGTTTGTATTCTCTCGATCATTGTAGAACATCTAAATGTACTCATCACTTAATCCTTTGTTATAGTCTTTAGTTCTTACTTTATATTTCATGCTGAAAATTTAAAAGTTTATAGAATTTAAAAAATATATATACCTAATGAGTCCCCACAGTTATGTTCTATGATCCAATCAGCCTAATGATGGTAGCGTCTCTGAAAACCATATTGAACGGTAAATTTGAATTTAACATCACCAGTGTATTATGAAATTTATATGACAAAGATGCACCATTTAAAGTGGGATGATTAACGTACTATTTGGCTCTTAAGTTCGAACATTATTTGATCTACCTTGATTTTATTAATCCCCACACAATTGATTTAACTTAAAATCAAGTGCACAGGCATGTTTCTGATTACTTGGATTTGTTTTCCAACTAAACTAATTTTATACTAGATCAAAATAATTAAACTAAAAAAGCGTTTGAACTTAGGCTGAAAGTTTTGCTAAACTAACTACAACATATTGTAAGTGATGACAGTGTACAGTTGATATTTATTTATTTAATTGTTGTATGAGATGCTGAAATTATTTATCTCTCACTCTTCTACCTATTATTTATTTGTTGATTATGCATACTTGTTGCGTGATATAAATAAACAGAAAAATATAAAATAATAAATTGTTTATTTCATCTTGTATTGGTTATTTCAATCTTTCCATTGACGTTTAGGACTACAATTGACCAGCCTCTTATTTGCGTATATGAATCTTATGCGGTTCGCCTTAAGTTACAGGCGTTATAAGTAGAGATGGATGGTGGCTAGCAGTGAAGGTACATCCAGCTTACCAGTCCCAAACAGAACGAAACGCGTATCCTGGATCCGATTGCTAGCCTTCATCCATTAATTGTTTATTTCTTTGTAAAAATATCCACTAATTGTTGGTGCTTTAATCAATTTATCGTCACATACGCAATTTTTAAGTGATCTAATCTGTTTAAAAACTCTGCTTCACACTTACATGTTGTTACATGTTTTAGTCTGATATCATTATATGAAATTAGTAGATTTGTTTATTAGTTTGTTCTGTAAGCTTTTTTTTCATACATTCAATATAAGTAATCAAACTGATAATAATAAATTATGCATTTATTTATTAGGTTCAATAAATCTGCTAAACATTGAGACAACTAGGCGTACAACAATTTTTAACTACAAACGGTTGAGATTCTTCTAAATACAAACGGGATTCAATAGCGACTAGATAGATTGACAACTGACATACAACAGCACTTAAACAATAATATTTCAAATGCTAATGATAGGTAGAGAAGATAGGATATTCAGGATAGCTTTATATTCCGAACAGAAGTTCAAAATTAAGAGAGTGAAAGTATTAATAACTAATCAGATAAAAACAAGGGTCATTACGGAAATTTGAGCTAGAAAAGTGTTGTCGTGGTTACCTTTATCATTTAGAATTAACAGTTACTGACATAAAACTAGATAACCTGAGCTCTCTTTAGAAGAACATATTGTTGTAGCAAAACAATGTACCGATATATATATATATATATATATATATATATATATATATATATTTCGAACCAACTCCATGTATTAACATTACTACTGTGATGAACGCTACTCACTAGATTGCTTGTAAGCACTATGTATCGGAACGTGACCTTGAGGTTGTCACAGTCTTCAGACAAAGCGAATAGTTTCTGTACATCGGAAGCTCGACGTAGGCAGTACAATTGAAGACCACAAGAGATGGTTCGCATTACAGAACACACCTCAAAATGCAAATAAATGACCCAAAGTTATGTATGAGTATTATATAAAGACTTTGTAATTACAATAGACATTCATCGCATCTGTCCATTGCCTTGTTTTTTACACTACCACTGGTGCTGTTGATCAAACTTTCTGAATTTGAAATAATAAGAAAAAGTGTAAAATTGTGAAAGCTTACATTACACTGAATATGAGTAGTATAAATGTAAATATGAAATTATTGTGTCGTTTTGTCATTCTATTATGATTTGTAACATTGTGTTATTCTTCTATTCAATTACTGTATAGACGTACCGACGTTATATTACTTCTTTGGAGTTGTTGGATTTATTAATTGAACGATTTAATATACCAAATCCAGACTTTACCGAGGCTGCTAATGAGACATTCAATTCAATTAAAGAACGTGATAGTTCAATTACTGTTGCTTTACGTTTAGAACAACGTTTCCGTTCAGTGTATAAACGGCGTGTACAATACAGGTTTGATCAAGTTTCATTAGTTTTGTTTTGTTTTGTTAGCTGATACTAATTGCTTATGAATCAGTCAGTCACAACGTAGAACTTCGTACGTACGTACATCAGTTCGAGTTGCCATACCACATTAGCACAGAGATGCAGTTGTCGATTCAAATCCCATAGTGGTAGAAGTAGTAAGAGTATAAGCAGTACTGCCTATGAATACTTTGTTGTGATCTAAGCACTCTTCAGTTAACACGTCACATTCCCCCGGTTGTACTAGTCACAGATTGATCTCCTTTGGGGTATGACTGAAAACTGGATGGCACTACTTAACAGCTGCTCCATCCTAGAATCGAACTCGGTAATAAAGCGGTGAATACAACCTCAAGACTAAACTTATCCCCACAAAACCCCTTCAACTAAACTGTAATAATCAGTCCATTAGCAACCTACAACAAGATGAATTTCTAGCGATAAGTTGTAACTGTGAAGTTCAGATATGTAAAGAGTCAAAAAATTTTCACCAAGTGGCATCAGATGTTTGCTATTCTGTATTGTGAACTGAGTGAAGTTAGGGTTGTACCATTGGGTGCCAAACTAGTAGTTCCAGCGATTAAATGTTTCTTGTGATCTAAAGATCCTGGGTTCGATCCCTGTTAAATGTTTTCTGGTCTTCAATAGTACAGTGGTTGAGACCAGTCTATTCCGAATAAAACTTACTAATTGACGCAATCCTTATAAAAGCTCTTTAATTAAATCCGTCATTTTTAAAAGAATTTAAATGTTATTCTGATTTAATTCTTACCGTCCAAAAGATCTTATTTTTGATGAAAACTCGTGGTTCTCTTAATGGTAAAATAATTCATCAGATAACTTTTTCAGGAAGTTCCATGGGTATAGTGAATGGATACGCTTTCATGAATAAATTTGTTAACTGGAAAAAGACCACATTGTTTATGCGTATAAAATCGTCATTGATGATAACTCTATTTATTTTCCTAATTTCAACATTTCCGTCAATGTATAACATATAAATACTTTTGAAATTGAACAATGTATAGTTTTTGATTAAGTTGATTTTCTATTTCAACTAAGAAGTACATCAACTAATAATTTACATTTTAAATGAGAAAATTGTTCTACCCTTAGTTTAACATATCTGATTAGAGTATTTTCACTTATAATCGTTTAATTTTTTTGGCTTAATTTAACCTGTTCATTCAGTCTTTATGTATATACAAGCATTCATGTAAGGACCACACACTATGTTGAAATCCAACGAATTTATTTCAATGAGATTGTTTTAGAAAAGGATATCAACTATTATGGTCATGTACTTTCCAATTGAATTGTTGATATCTCTTAAAGTAATATCTAACTGATACAACCAAGCAGATTTCGTACAATGATGAGAAACGGAATTGAATATATGGATCGATAACAAATATGATCGTTACCCCCAGCAGTGCAATATCAAATGACAAAGTCTGGCCTGTGACTGTAAATAGTACTAATGCTTGATATATATATATATATCCAACAGTTGATTGATTTATTCCTCCACCGTCCAGATGTTTTTCGTCTGTGCACTAGGCGCATCAACAACAATGTCAATACGTCAATTATATTAACAACTGAAATTGAAAATTAGATTGATTCAGTAGATTTCTCCATAATCGGTCAATTATCACTGAAATCGTAGATCAATCATACCAATACTATTGTAGTGAACAAGAACACGAGTGGGGACAATCGAATTTATTTAAGCAAAAATTACAGACTATCTCACTAAATTCTGTTAACCATACAATCAACAGTTAATTTGCAAAATAACAATCAATTGCCTCAATCTTAACTGTTCCTTCTGCAAATATCAATCCGTCTTCTCTGATTTCATTGTTTATGCATTTTCGTACCGATTGCGCTTCATTCCTGTCCTTTCCTTATCGATCTTCTGCCAAAATACATTCTATATCTGACCATCACCATATACTACTTATATGGATATAAGTAGACCATACCACACTATCTCCGCTTGTTATGAGTTTTTTATTTGAACAGTATTAAGACATCCATAATAATAGAAAATTATAGGGCTCAATCATAAGAAAACTCGTTAACTCCATTACCAACTTGCAGTTCAAATTCAACATGAAATCCATTTTTTTTCGAAATTACATTTTATGGGCTCGGTGGTTTAGTCATGAAGCTTTCATTGTCTTCCTAGACACGATATCGCCAGCACAAACTTGAGATGGAATTGAGGTATCAGAATTTTCAAAAATTGACTAGCATTTTTTTATGTCGGTGCTGAAGTTCGTAGGTTGTTGCCGTTTTTTAAAAAAACTTATTCTGTCATCGTCCGCCTAATTGTCTTGACTGTCTTCCTGACTATATCCAGCTCACAAAATGCAACTTTGACAAAATCATTTTGTTGAGCTATATATTTCGCGATCATCAAATCCATTGGTCGCTCAATTTCAATTACAAATACTGACAATTTGATGAATTGAATGATAGAGTGAAAAGTTGTTCGCACTTTATTTACATACCTCTTATTTATATTATTGGGATTGTCTCCGTCAGTCAATCTGTGTCTTTACTATTCTTCAACGACAGTTTAACTATTCACAAAACTCTTCAATTGTATTCATCGCCAAGTCACATTCAGTTCAGTATTTATATGAATGTTATCTTAAAACTTCCATCATCTTATTATGATTGTCTTTTTTTGAAAAAAAATTATTTCAGGGTCTTAAATTTCATTATCAAATGGGTGAAAAATTCTTCTTACTATAAACTTGACATATTACCAGATACTGTATTACGCAGTAGATTGTGGGATTTTCTAGACACTGTAGATGCTCGTAATTTATCTGACAATGTGACAAATATTCGTAAATCTCTTCTTGGTGATAGAATAAGATTAATTCAGACAATTGAACAACCTCCACCTGAACAACTTGATTTCGGTTTGGTAACATCATCAGATGACGTGAAATTAACCACAGTAAGACGTGTTATATATGCACATTATCATAATCTTAAATTTATATATTTCATTAATGATAAGATTTGGCAATATTTATTTTACAAAAAATTTGATCCAGGTTTGTATCCTAAATCAACATATTATCGAATTATCCCCATTATTTAGTTCGTATGTTTCTTTGTAATTTTCAAGTACGTTTTTAATTAATTAATTAATAACTTGAGTAGATTAAGTTGTGTGATGAGATTGCTTAAAATGTTCTCTAATCTAGCATTTCGTTCCACTTTTATGTTGAATATACCATCCAAATTTTTATCAGTAAATATCGTACAAAGTCATTGAAGTCTTTCTAAAGATAACAAAGTCAACTATATTTAAACTAATTATTCTAGTATTTTTGAAGAAATAAGAATATTCTGTTTCAAATATGCGTTTCCTGTGAATTTTGTCCAATGGAATTCAGCCATCACATTTGCAACTATCTTATCATTGTGTTTTATATATCAGGAAATATGTTTTTCTCTTACATTCAACTGTAATGGAATAGTAATGAAAGTTTTTCATCAATAATTATTTACCATTTAACTCTTGAAAATTGTGTAGTTTGTAAGATTTTAGAACGTACCTAGTTGTTTGTGCATGTAGTACGAATCGCTTTTCGATAATGTTATGATAGACTAAACTGTTTTCATTACATTTTAATTGCAGATATTAGTAAAATTCAATTTACTGTCTACTGCGTTCATTCTTTTTCTTATATTTTCATGGCATTTTTTTTAAAGGTTCATCCGTTAGAATTCGCACGTCAAGTAACACTGTATGAATGGGAGTTATATTCTCGCATTGAATTTTGGGAAGTCACTGGTAAGGAAAAAATCAAATCTCCCAATTTCGAATTATCACTCCAGTTTTCCAATAAGGTTTGTACTTTCATTTTTGTCAGTATCATATCATTCTGTCTATAATAACATCTGTAAAATAAATAATATGGAATTGATATTACATTTATATTTCAACTATTTCATATTATTGACGTTGGCATTAGTACACTTATTTAGTTAATAGTTATTCAGTCACTCAGTCATCAATCTAGAGCCTGATAGAAATGTGTGTTAGTCCAAGTTGTTATACCGCATTAGCTAAACGTGATGAAATTAACACAATAAGCAGTAAAGTAATCTAAATAATATAGTAGCAATTTCAATGAGAAAGACCAAGTATTGAAAATAAGGTCCGAGAAGAGGGAACAAAAAGGTATTTATGAAGAGAAAATAGAACTGAAGACCTAGATAAAGATAAAGAGTAAATACATTTGTTCTATTGTAAATGATTCTCACCCACTTCACCCAACCTCCCCTCAACCACTAATCACACTTGTCATTAGAACCTCAACCAGATTAGTCTGTATTTATCAAAATAGCCAACTCTAGCTTTCTTTCAACCTACTCCCGGTTAGCATACATGAAACACGTTCAAACTGCTCCAGTTGATGAAGATTCACTGTTTTACCAATCAATTTACCATTTTTATCTGATACTCTGCGTCTAACTTAAATACTTCTCACTTATTGGTTCAGATATACGCTAGCAATGTTTCGGTTAGTAAAAATTATATAGGTTGAATGTTAACCCCCTGTTCATTGTTCCACAACTTACATCATCTTTGGTTGCTATTCTATAAAATTGTTTATTCATCTACCATTCTCAATTTAACACGTTCTTAATAACTCAGTCAGTCAGTCAAAGGTAACGTAGAACCTGACACATGTGTACATCTGTTCGAGTTACTATACTCCTTTAGCACAGAGCGATGAAATTGCCATGATAAGTCTCAAAGTAGCAAAAGTAGTAGCAGTACTGGTGATAATTGAAAAAGTTAAGCATCAAATATACGCTTCTGGAGAAAGAAAATTAGTGGAAAAAAGTAATGAGGAAATTTAGAAACTTAAGATCTAAGGAATGACAAACAATCAATGGACCTGCACTATTGCTTACTTTTTGTTTTCTAAACCAATCTATGTACAATCTAGATGTGTTTATTATTTAGCCATTTTGTGAACATCTTATGATTATCATTGAACTATAATTGTTTTCTATTTGTTTCTGTTTTTCCATAAAGTTTAAATGTTGGTTAGTTAGTTCGATAATGTCAGCTGAACATTTAGAAGACAGAATGGTTATTATGCAACGTGTTGCTGATCTGTTAGTATACTTCGATAGTTTGAATAATTTACAAGGTGTTCAAGAAGCCAAGGCTGCTCTATTGAGTTCTCCAGTATTTCGACTAAGTGAAACCTACGATGTATGTTTTCTATGATTTGAAAATTTTATTTTTTAATAGATTTATATGTAGACATGATCTTAAATGTTTTAGTGATATTTCTGTTGTATTTATTTATTATCAGGCTTTAATCTCCAAATCAAAATGTCATTATCGTAACTTTTTCGAATCATTGCGTCAGTTCGTTCAAGATGATAGCGCAAATGTTTATTTTACCGATTATCAAGAGAAATTGCATCGAATTCATCCACCTGGTCTCCCGTTTATTGCAGTTGGGGATAAGACACAACTGATACATTTAGAATTGAAGCATCCAGATTGGGTAAATGCTTCTACATTGCCATTTTCAACTGTACCAGATACACAGAACTCTAGTAGTGGTTGTTTGGTTAATTTCTGGAAATGTCGTCAATTAACTGAACTTGTTGAATATTATTTGTCTTTTCAACAAACCCCGTACAATTTCTCCATAAATAAGTCTATCCGCGTAAGTTCCTAGTAGATGCTGGATAATATATATATATATATTCCTATATGAATCTCAGATAAGTGTAAATTTTCAATGTCTCTGTGTTAAATATTTTGTAGCTTACAAAGTTCTAACTTTCTAGTGATTTTTTAAATTAACTAAATGTTATCGTTTGTTTCCTGGATTCTTAATTCTCACTAGGAGTAAAAGCTTTCAGAATCATAATTTTTTCGTCAAATTTAACATGTCAAGTTATCAGGAACTTTGTTATTTTAATATTTTGTCTGTGAAGAAAAATCTTTATAAGAGTAGTTATGCACTTGACATGTAGCTTAGTCATTAGAATGAATCAATGTTATTCATACTCCAGATGTTTTGGAATTTCATACTTCTGTGGTTTTTAATGGGATACAGACTGATTTTCATTAGACTCATAGAAAAACAGTTCACAACTGTTAATCTGATGAGTATAACGAATCGTTAGCTCTCTATCTACTTCTTGAAATATTAGATTATAATTTTTTAGTAACCATGTATTATCATCAAGTATCGATGATACTAATTCATATGGTATTCCTTTAGTGTTTTCTCTCAAATCCTTGATATTTTTGTTCTTTTGTTAACTTGGGTAAACAGTTTTAAGGTTTCGTGATTTTAGTAGATATCAGATACATGTATAAATAAATCAGTAAATATATATATATATATCTTATTACTAATTCTTGAGTATTCGTTTGGTTTTTAATACAGGGTTTCCTAGAGACATTAAACCCATTGAATACATGGGGTGTTGACAATGAGAGTTTATTTGACGATATTATGTATGAAAAATCTTTGAAAATTCAGCCTAAGCGATCTGATTCGTTTTGTACAGTAAGTTCACTTTTTAAGTTAACAGTATGCTTAACAAGACGAATAACTCACATTTAATATAGGATATCATAATGTTAGGTACACCACTCAGTGTTAGTACTCATCAGTTTATCGATATCTATAGTCTTCAATCATTTACTTTGATTTATTGTGTGTCTTTCCTAATTCAACACAATATCTTCCGCGATATAGTGTCATTATGCTTTCGTTTTAAGCGATGATTGAGATTTATATAGATTTTGCGATCATTATCTTTATGCAGCATGTTGTAACCCTAATTCACTTGCTCGTTTGTTATCAGTTCACTCACTAATTAAATTATTTTTTTACTCAATCTAAATGCCGATTATCATGTAGTATTTTTAATTTGGTGACGTACAATTTGGTTTAAAATTTTAACCTTGATTGGAATTCATAGGATAAAAGATAACATTATTGTGCTTGTATGAGATAATTCCTAGTAACTAAAGTTAGATGAAGGCAGATAAAATCCGAACATAAATATCAGATTGAGTTTTGTGACGTATCTGAATAAATTGAATGGGATTAAAACAATCTGAAAAACATGAAAATTCAAATTATTAGGAGTATAATCAGTCAGTCAGCTATCTACAACGTAAGACCAAACCATATATGCATCGGTCCAAGTTGTCATGCCTCATTGGTGCAACAAGATAAACACCGAATTCATAGAAGTTACTTCAATGGTAGCAATTTATAAAAGAAAGATTTCATATAAGGATATGATACAGGAAGGAAGAATTAGTTCGTAGAAAGAAAGGCATGAAACAATTTTAATCTCACGGTTTAAGAGAAGACAGAGAGTGTATACACCGACGCTATTATGGTTGATTCTGAACCAGATCACTCAGAGTTTCCAACCATTGTTTACGACAGTCACACGGACACCAACCAAGTAGTCTGCATTTACCAACATGGCTCAGACCAAAAGTTAATGACTTTATGGACCGATATGATTTTTGGTTTGGCCGCCGCTAACTCTCTTCTAACCATCCCCAATACTAGTCAGGATTGCGCGTCGTGGTAATCGGTGTTCAGGTATATGTAACACGTGGCCCAACCATATCAGTCGATGAAGATTCATGACCTCGTCAACTGATTTGCCATCATTCCCAAATAACCTGTATCTAACCTCACTATTACTTACCCGGTGATCTCATCAGATGCAATCAATATTTCTAAGACATCTGTGATCAAATACTAGTAGCTTACGAGTATCTTCTACTCTTAATGGCCACGTTTCACAGCCATAAAATAGAACAGAACGAACTGCTGCTCAGTATACACGTCACTTAATTGATAGACGGATATCTCGCCTACGCCATAGGTGATGCAAGTTGACAAAAGGCAAAAGAGCTTTTTGAATCCGTTCTGAAATTTCGTCAGACACCAACCCATTAGGGCTGATCAGACTTATAAGATAAGTAAAGTTGTCGACGCGTTTGACTACTTCACTATGTTGTGACTTTAAGCTTGGGTAGTTTTCACCTGATTTATTCCTTAATCGAAATACGACTTATTTAATCTTAGCACTGTGCCAAACCAATGACGTTCGACCTCTTTGAGCAGCCTAGCGCTTTTATTGGTCCTATGTTCGCCTAGCCCGTCTAGTTGATTCCAGAACGCCAATAACAGCTTTCACTATGCGAATCATTTATTTCAAACAAACTTGGTTTATAAACTAGCCAAACAGATCTCATCAAACCTATAATTGGAAATAACATTTATATAAGATCTGACCAAAAAGTGTCTGAACGTGGGAGACGGTATTTAATAAATTGAACACAATTTAGGAACAGTAAATCGTATAATAATAATCTGCAGGTCAAAATGAAGCTTATAATAAGATGTATATAGATGTATACAATCTAATTACTGAATAGTTACACAGTAAGAATATACGTATAATATTAGTCCATAAATAGATCTCAGAAGTTACTCGTATTTTAACCTTCACAAGGATATAACACACTCCCTATCCCTAGTTCAGGTGTTGAGACAGGCCTATCCTGAAACAACAACTTTCATTTAGAGGGGTGAATCTCTAGAACAAATCTAAACAAAGTCATTTAATATATAAGAACTCTCGTCTAAATTAGAGCGAATAGTTTCACAGTATTTTAATATACAGATATTATCATTTAGTTATTCAAGGAGAGAGTGAATTCCCTGTAACTGATTTATAGGGGGAAATCTTATTTTATTTTCTACATTATAACTGTCTTCGTACCGTGCTATATTTTGTAATTTCATTTTTTTCATTTTTTTCACATGAACGTATCAAATATCTAATTTCAGGTACCTCGTGAACGTAATCTAAAGCCTGTAGAAATAAAAATCGCAGCTGCACTAAACCTAGTTCAACCGGATCCTAAGCTAACTGCTGACTCACGGGAGTTTCGTAGTCTTCTTCAAATGATTTCTACTGTTACAAACCGTTCTTCAACCTTAACTTCAGCATCCGAGTACCAATTTGTGAAGGAGTCTTCTAATATACCTGATAAAGCTGTAGAACAGACAAGTGATAAGTCAAATACAGTTGTATCCTTAACATTAAATGACCCTTTGTCATCTCTACAAATTTCTAATGATGATTCATCGCTAGTGTCTGATACTGACAAACGTTCAAGTCATTTGAAGTCATTTTCAATGAGTGAGCTTTCATATTGCATTGTCTTTAAAGTTCATTAGGTTTATTGACTATTTTTAGGTACTTAATTTATAATTTAAGATCACTGAAATATTTCTAGTCTTAGGGAAATTAATTTGTGAGGTTACCTCAAAACAAAATGTTTAAATCACCAACTCTTTTTCTAACTGATAATTCACATTCACTGTGGGATGTTATCAATCCTTAAATTATAAATCTTTCGGTAAATATTTTTTAATAAAATCATAATAATTAAAATATTGATGTATATTATTAATATGTTTAGTACTTGAACACTTAGGTATAGACTTCCTAATCTCTTCGCAGTACTCATATACTTTTCACCCTGAAGGGGCAAATAAAAGCTGAAAAATCTAAGACGAGCTTCACTTTCAAGTTTAGTATATGTGTAGATAATAAGGATATTTATAGTATTTTGTATAGCCTTGTGTTTTTAGACATCTCTGGTAAACATGATTAAATTAGTTACAAAATTGTTAATCGTCCAATCGAATTATGACACAATTAGTCATTTTCTAAAATTCTTTTGAAAATACCAATATCGCTGATAGATCTAAGTATTTTCAACACTATTCCAACGTTTGAAGACTTTTTTTGAAGAATTATTGAAGGCTATCAACATATAGTTAGTTAGTAATGCTATTAAAAACAAAGGAACATATTTTCGTATATCATCACATGTCAATTAGTTTGAATCGTTACTTTTATTATTACTTTTATTATTTTACGTCATTCATGCGTTTGAATAAGTTCAAAGTGATATTTTGTTGTTATTCCATTACATTATCAATCAACATGTACCTGAAGACACCTGTGCTACTACTTCATCATCACCTGTAACATTTCTTCACAATGATAGTTCTCAATTTACATCAATCATTACTCTTCCAGTTAGTGGTCATATAAAAGATGATAATGCACAAATTGTGTGTCTTTCTTCCCCACCGCCTCTACCTCCTCGAATTAGTAGATCAACTCAGCGAAATACGCATTCGGAACAGTTTAGCAATCAGATCTCAACGTTTCAAGAATCCTCTCATAATATATCTAATTCCACGTTTTCAAATATCAGAGGTACGTTTAATAGTATGATAAATGATCTCTTATTACATTGTTCACGCCTATGGGGTTGTGTAAATGCTAAATTTTTGATAAGATTGTGATCTTAAAGGAAACATTGACATGTGTTTAGAATGAACAGAACTGTGTTTCCTCATGTTATTTCAAAATTTCTCTCAGTAGTCAGATAAATCTTTACATAAAAAGTGATTGTTTTTAGTTAGCGGTTTTTTTTAGAAAGGTTCTTTATTACGGTGTGGAGTTGCTAACTCCATGCTCAACGTTCCTCCTTTATCTGGGTTTGGGACCTTTGGTAATTTTAGAAGGGCTCCAAGTGACAGACCTTCACATAAACTGGAATTATTTGGCCTTTTATCCTCTAACGTCGCCATATTGAGTTTAAAATTGAAGAGAACTCTCACTTTTTGTACATATTGGCTGTCCGAGATGATCATTTACTTTCAGCCAAAAACTATAAATACATGAGATTTTTGTACTATATTCGACACTGTGTTGGGAATAACATTCCTACTTATTAATTTCTGTCTTTTCTCTTGCGACGTTGCTGTTTCGATCGTTCAAATAGTCTTGTAGTACGCGGCATAGAAAGAATCTAAAGCTCTAGATATAACAGTAGGAAATACATTTTGCGTCAAAACTATATTCTTGCATTTTATAGCTATTTCGTTCACTTATTTACATGACTGGTAGTAAACAATCACACTCTGGATGTATTTTCTTAATCCTAAAGTAAGTCTAAAATAAATCTTTTTAGTTTGATCATAAACATGTTGCGAAATATTCGATATTTTTTTTAAGCTGTCAGGTTTATTCTACTAAGAGTAGTTTCTTTTTCCTACTAAACTTTTACACCTATGTTATTGTAGATATATCACCTGTAGAGTGTTTTCCAACCAACGTTATCATGACTTCTACTCACTGCGATATCTCGCAGCTGCCATTCGATATTTCCTTGGAATTAGAAAATTCATCTACAATCAATAAGTCGGCTACATGTGATGATGTTGATCCTCCTCCAAGACCACCCCATCGTAGGCTAACTTCTTTATCGTCTGTAACAGGTGGAAAAAGTCCTTCAGGTAATTTAGCACTTTGTGAACGATGAAAGTTTAATTGATTGTTATATTTTTTCAGGTAGCTAGTTTGACAAAATAAGATAATTTTCAGCTCCGAATATTATTTTTCATTAATGATTACATTTTCTTTCATTTTATATTCTTTTGTGTTAACATCATTCAATAGACATCATCATCATTGTAGATATCCTTCTAAAAAACAGTTTTATCTAATATACTACTTATGAGTATACACTAATATTCTATGGAAAATTTGTTCGTGACCATAAAAGTCGCTTACATCATACAGTTTCGTCTGTTTTTTTATAATGGGTCATCCAATTTAATAGATAAAACAGTTGGAAAAAGCTTTGTTTGTTCTTTTTTATTTTTAAATTTTATGCTTAAACACTAAATTAAATGCTGGAAGTAATTCATTCCCATAATAGTTTAAAAAAGATCATAGTATAAAGTAATTAGTTGTAACTAGTACAAGTATTACACGAAAAATGTTTATTAATAATTAAACATACGGTTCTGAAAGTATGCACCACCTAGCCTTTTGTTCAGAAAAAAAATCATCTATATATCGGAAATTTAATTGAGATTATTATTATTAATTATGTGGAGAATTTCTATTTCTAAGATTTTGCTGTATATCTATGATCATTGCAACATGTTATATTATGCTTTTACATTTCCATTCATGAGTTGTAAGTTACCTTTCTTCGCGCATACATTTCCCTATAATTGTAAACACATTCCATCGACTTTTTTCTAATTTTTTTAATCTCATAGATAACATCAATATCAGTACAAATAACTTGATTGACAATGTATCAAATCCGCCTATTTTACCTCCTCGTACTCATCATCATTGTGGTGAAGTACATTCATCTCGATTATCTAAAAATACCAGTCCAATAATTCAAGATAACAATACCCTAAAAGAAGATAATTTATGTATAGATTCTGGAATAACAAATTTATCTCGTATTTTATCACATAATGTAACAAATATTAATCGTTCTTTATCATCTCCACTACCACCTCCATTGCCTCCGAAAAAATCAACCACACCAAATACCTAAAAAAATATATGTAAATATTATTTTGTTTTTCTCTAATAACACCAATTTTTCTTCTTTGTATAAATTGTCATATATTTTGCATTCAACACTACTTATGTAATTAAATTTTCTTTTCATTACCTTTTGTACATAATACATATGGATGTTTCTGTTTATACTGTAATATTTCTGTATATTTATTAACTTTACGATTTAGATTTATTGTATTTCATTTTTTTTCTTCGGTGGATTATATCTGTAAAACACCCATTTTATACAATTAAGTATATGGCTGTTCTTCTTTTTTATTAAAAAAACAACCTCCATTGTTAGTATTCTCCGGTATAAATAATTTCCGTCACCTCTTCATCGCTGTCTTTTTTTCACTGTCAACTTTAATTCCTATGCAATGAATGATGTACATCAATATGATAGTGATAAACTGCTTGTATGTCCTTTTGTGAAAGTGTTTTTGAAAATCTACACTAACTAGAGATGGATTTACTTACCTTAACTCTCTTGTTAAGATTTGCACTGGTTTATGTAACTGCAATTTATTTTTATAATTCATTGCAAATTTGCACTTATTGTATTTTTCCCTGTTATATATATATATATATATATATATATATATATTGTAAATTAGTTTGCTTGAATAAATCATTCTCGTTTCCCCTGTTGTCATTATTTAGTACACTTTTGTTATAATGGTTCGTTTTCCTTTTTACACTAATGGGACGTTAATTTACCTTTGACGAATATCTACACTAGATTCCATCCCAGTGTCTACTCTAAAGGACTTCAACACAACTCAGATCAAGAACACGTGATTAGCTTGACTAGAACGTAAATATATTTTGCCACACCAAAACGCGACACAATCCAACAACAATGGATAGTTAATCAATAATAATAATAAGTAATGAGGATAGGGGAATATATAACTCATCTGACACCTGTCAGACTATCTACATGTTTGACTAAGCAGACAATCAATAATTATCATTCTTACCCACAAATCAACTTTATATTTTTTTAGAATCATGCAAAGAAACTTTTGAATGTGAACCATCCTTTGTTTCTTTCCACAGAAATGACACAATGATTTATAGTACAAATAAAATATGTTTTACACATCTCGTTGGAATAGCATGGTGTTAAGTGAGATTAATGACAATAGCATTTCTAATGTCTTCATGAAGCACAGACATATCTGATAGTATTTTTGCAAATAATCACTTGGCACTTAATTTTTTTCCCACTCAATAATTCGCATAACCAACTATTCTTTGTAATCTTCATCCCACTGCATCTAAATTACATTCTGAATGTGAATTAACACAATCACGTTTAGTTTTTAGGTCTGTAGTTAGTTAAATTAATTTGTCTTACGTCAATGGGTGGTCAAAAAACTGCTCGAATTAAGTATCATTTGACAGATTTCTGTCAACTGACAGATGATTCCCATTTAAACATTAAAAATTAGAGAAAACGAAGTTCAGCGAAGGGATCTTTTTTCAATTTATTATTAAGCTGTATAAACGTATATATATGAAAATGTTTCGCTAAAGTACTAGTTTCGTGAGGAAATGTGAACAAGGAATAACCAAGATGATGTAATAGAAAGATTATAATACTAGATTACTTAATACGGCCAATAATAATAGACAATAATTTAGTAACGAATTATAACGTGAATATAGTAAGATGATTAAAATGTTTTCATTACAATAATTATAGGTAATTAAAGGTAATAGAGATGCGAAATAAATGAAGTGATATCATTAGCAATTATGAGTAAAATAATAAGAATATGAGACATAAGTCAAGGGAGAATTGCAGTAATAATAATAATAAATATTAAGGTCAAGGTAATGACAACGATAGGACGTACTTCTTTTGTACGCATAGTTCTGGCTTGAGCTCATAGATGATAAGAACTTCGTCTATTTTTAGGAGTTAGATACGAGTAAATCCAGGTAGATTTGGACGAATCGTAAATACAACCTTAAAATCAAACTGGATCAGTAGAATGATTACAGTCGATTAGATGTTCAAGTATGAAACTCTTAACTTCTTTCCTCTCACCCTTGTAGAACCACACTGGGACATGTTCCCGTATCTTAGTTGAAAGCGAGCGCTGGATACGGTCAATGTATTTTGCTCCACAAGAGCACGTGAACTAGTAGATGCACATGGAGGAGACCAGACAAGGAAGCTTACCTTTTATGGATACAGAAAATAAGTCCCTACTAGTGAATGTTATTCGCAGTTTGGCCGCATAGAATGTTCTTTTTATCACTGTCGTCAAGTCATTTTTGATTACATCAGATGTTCGATCAGCTTTAAATTCCAAACTTATATAAAGGTTTTTCTTTGAAAAGGAACAACTGGATTTCTTGTCACAACTACTTTTAATATTCTTGATTATTCATTGTTCACATTTCCTCACGGAACTAGTACTTTAACAAAAAGTACTTTAACTCTGAAACGACATCCCTTTGCTGAACTTCGTTTTTAAGATTTTTCTCAAATTTTTGTTTTAAGATTGTTTTCTCTCAGAGGATTTAAGTTGACAAAATCACAGTACAGTTTGAGAAGTGAGTAAGATAGAATGATAATATTTTTGGTAAACTTAGTGTTTTAAAGATTTATTATACAGTAAAACAGTCTATCATCAGTTGAGTTCAATTATGCTCTTCTTTTGTAACATTTTTTTTAACATAAAACAAACCACAAATGGTGATAAGCTTGTTTCACATAAAATCTCAAAGTGGGAGTAAAATTCCAAATAGTTCATAAGTGCGTTTGTCTATCTTTTGGTTGTAGTAAATGGTCGTTTCTTAACGTATTTACTAGTCTGAATTGGATTGCATTCAGCGATTTAAGATTTATACACGATTGAGTTGCATAATTCTCATTTCGAATCAAAAACCGTTTTAGACATACCTGTTTTGCTCATAGAAATTTATCTGATTTTATTACAGTTGTTAAACAAAAAAATTTGTCAACCCAACGAAAAGATAGGTTAATGGAAATTACTATAGTTTTTTTATCTTCAGTTTATTAAACCAAATCAATAACCAAATAAAGCATTTACAGGGTCTGTGTAACAGACTTATACCAGCTGTTTCGTGTCAAACTTGAACTGTGCGGACCGACCAATCAACTGTCGCACAATTCCTATAGGTTTTTATTTGTTAGTAATGTAATAGGTTATCACTCAAAATAAAGGTTAAAACAGTGTTACTCCAGTCAAATAAAAAATGTCGGAAAGTATAAGAATTGCAGGTTCTTGTATCTAAATCCAGGCTAGTATAAACGTCTACCCTAGTTACTCAATTGATTTTAAGAAATCAAGCAATAAATGGGAATTACTTCCTTACGCCTATTACCTCTTTTGGAAGAGCATAGACCAACCAACACTATTCTCAATCGAAATCTGTACTGGACATCCCCTTCAAGTTATTTCCAGTTGCTATTCATCCTTTGCATGTCTGCTTCGAATTCTCGACTCAGTATGTTCTTTGGTCTTCCTCTTCTCTGTTTCCTTTTACGATTCAAGATTGGGGCTTATATCGTGATGTATGGGTCTTATCCACTTGCAACGTCATTTCCTAATTTGCCCTTCAGTTAGAACCTGGTTTCTTACTGATGGTATCCGTTCAACGGACATTAAGTCTCTTGCGCAGATAATTTTGTATAAATACCTGTACTTTTTTGATAATGTCTGTGTTAGTTTTCTAAGTTTCATCTCCGTAGCTCTTCTAGGGCTACTGCCGGTCTCCAGCCAGGGTAAAGGAGGAGGGTTGGTCATAAGGTTAGCAACCCCATCCGTTGGAAATAACCTTTCTAAAAAATACGCTAACTAGTAAATGAGAAACTGTAGTAAAAACGTGATACAATGATAAACTTTTTTATCCCCAACTCAAGTAATATAGATTTAAATTTACATCGAGACATCAATTGTTGTACTAGATAATTTATCACGGGACAAAAATAATTCAATTTCAAATACAAATGAATACTATTTAACAATTTTATTTCTTGTTGTACAAAATGATTAAATAGGCATATTCGAAAAAGGATTGTGGATATTCATTGGAATTTTCTAATGAAATCATCTATCAAGATTACATATCTCAAAAGGTCCCATTATAATTTTTGTAACTTTACCGAGGGGAGATTCTCTGAAAATAATGTTCATCGAAAACTCATTTGAACAGTAGTGTGATCCTTTTTCGTTAATATGTTAACTACAACTAGTTAGGTATGTCAATAAACTTTCTTTACATCGCAAACCTGAAAGAATAGTTGGTCGGATATCAACAAGACCCCTAGTTATACACAACTATCCAGGTGTTCATCGAGTAGCATTTACCTCGGGATAACAAAGAGGTCCTTCTGACCACTCCACGAAGCGTTTGCCATGAAATATACCTAGTCTTTTGCCAGCATATAAATGTTGTGCATAGATGTTGTCAAGGAAGTTGGTATACTACTTTTTTCATTGTTCGGTATAATTGGATTCCGCTTATTTGATGTTCATAACTTCAAGATTGGTGAACAAGGTTGCATTGTGACAATCAAATCAGCAGTCCAATTATTCTTTATTAATTGATTGATATAGATGTTGTAGAATCTCAAACTGTTGGTGATGACATTTACTACCTTGATCTTGTAAGAATTCTTTGTTATGAATCGTTTTTTTAATGGTACTGGATAATAACTTGTTCTGGCCGTTCCACTTCTGCAGTAGACACTGGACGTTATTCAGTGTTCAAAACTCCGTAAATTGGTTTAACAACATAAAACCCGAACCTTTAGTCAATCTAATACATGTCGATATGTTATGCAATACACTTGTCTCTCTAGTCGTTGTCATTTTATACATAAGGATTACAAATTTGACTAAAAAAAGATGAAAATTCTGTCTGAAGATTAAAAAAAAATTTAGTTTAACATACCAGACATAATTCCCTTGGTGGTTGTCAATCAACAAATGACAACTAAATGAATGCATCATAACACTATAAACTGACATATTAAAACATATAGAACACACTTATACTGAGAATCCATATGTTCACATATTTTTGACTGTTTTTACTGACAAGAAAAAAAACGATTTAACGAAGCCTTCCTAGGATATTTTTTCTTGAACCATATCTGATACACAAGATACATCAACCGAGTGACTAAAACGTTTGTCTATATAACTTAGTAACAAACATTCAAGTATTGTTTTTTATAGAAAAGAAAAAAACCTGAATAACTACTGCTGAACGGATTAAGTTGAGTAGGAAAAAAAGAGAAAAGAAAAGTATTTGTTTAGCTAAATGGAACAGATTAGATATGAACTAAACGTATTAAAAATGTATTTAGGTCATTAGTATGAAATAGAGGTCGAAACAAATCAATATACAAGCTTAAGATTCCAGAATTTTTTTTAATCATTAAATAGAGATTACTTATATAGTTTAGTTAAGTAATCAAAAAAGAACAATTATATACTACTATTAATATTAAATTAATTAATTATTATAACTTCAGGCTAAAAATAAATCAAATAATGATTTAAATAATTCAATGAAAATTGTATAACTGATAACT